GTAGGGGAACCCCATGTTAGCCAGGCAAGTGGAAGCCACTAGCTTCTTTTTTGCATTTAAAGATCAAGTGGCTGCACTCTCCTGGGAGGGGGGCAGTCTAGAGTCACAGCTGATCTTTGACTTGTGATCAGGCCTTTGGAGGACACAGTCCTCAGATACAAGGTCACAGGAGATTTACTGTCCCCAGAGTGTTCCTGTGACCAGACCAAGGCCTCCACCTACCATGCCTTCAACCCTGAGCGCTGCTGAGGGCTCGGTGGACACCTGAGCTGGAGGCATCACTGTTTCTTGCTCTGCAAGGAGATTTGGTGGCTGCTCATCCTTTTCCACTTGGAATCATAAATGTTCCTACCCAAGGAGGTGGTTCCCCTGGGGTAGGACTGTACTTGTGTGGGATAAGATCTGGGCTGTCCCGCTGCCCCGTGAGGAATGGGGCTTTAGGTTGGGAGAGGCCCTCTGAGTTAGGGTGTCCCCAGTGAAGAGAGCTCAGCCTTCCTTAGATGCACGCCTGGGATGGAGAGCTGAAGACAGGCCCTTTGCAGTCCCTCCCATACCCCCCACACTCCCAGGCTCCCCAGTGAATGCTACTTACACTGATGGAAGACCGCTTTGGCTGTCCAGATGTGAGGCCCAGCACAGGGCGGGCATGATGTCCCATGAGGGCAGGATGGCACGGGTGGTGATGTCACATGGGATGAATGATGTCACATGGAGCAGTGGGTGTCCCAAGATGGTGTGATGTCACACAGAGAGGTGAGGGGAGCCAGGAGTGACAGGGAGGTGATGAGTGAGAGATGGCCCAGCAGGGTGAGAGGTGAGCAATGGACTTTCCAGAGTCCCCATCCCCTCTGTCATCCTCCCAGAAGTGACAGATTCTACTGAAATGGCTTTGATAGTAAGCACTCCCTTTTGTGGTCCTGTATACTCACCCTCGGCCTTGCTGTCTGCACGCCAGGAGCCCCAGGCACTCCACTCGAGCAGGAGCCTGTCAGATGCAGAGCGGAATCCCAGAGACCTGCATGTCCTCCCCAGCTGGGCCCTCAGCCGGCTGGAGCACCAGAGCTCCCTGATGGCCCCTGGTCAAGCCCCTCTCCTCCAGGACACCCTCTCCCTGCCTGAAGCTCGTAGGTGAGCAGAGAGCCTCACAACCTCTGGCAGCAGAGTGTAGGAGGCAAGCATCATACATGCCCGGCCAGTTCCACCCAGGGATCTTGCCTGCCTCCTCTGGGGTTGTGGGGACTTTGGACAGCTCCTGCTCAAAGGGCTCCCTCATAAGCCACACTTGCATGAAGTTCCCCCAGGGCCCCACCCCCTGTCCCAGATGCAGACCCCACTCACAGCAAGAGCTCATTCAGTAGCCACCTGGTAGCAGTCAGGAGGGCAGAGATTGGCTGGGAAGGAAAGGGGACACACAGTTAAGCCCAGGACCCCAGGACCCTGGCGAGGGCTCCCCTCAGCACTACCATTAACGACCACGGAGGGGGGGGGATCCTCCTCCTGCTGCCACCACCCCCCACCCCTTCCCAGCAGAGGGAACATTTATAACTGAGTTATCTGATAAATTTCTATTGTAGGGCAGACACTTGGGGTTAGACAATGCCCATCTAGAAGACTAGTGAAGTTCTCTTCCTGATGAGCCAATTAGGTTTCTGGTGCTAGTGAAAGCACTAGCAACTGAGGTTAGGAACAAAGCAAGAAAGGAGCTATGTGGTCTGCTTTCTCTGCCAGAGATCCCTGGTTATCTCACGAGCTGCCAGAACAATTCCCTGAAGCCCCAGAGAGAAGACCTGGGGGCAGGGGACAGGCTGAGAACAGGGGGCAGGGGTGTGGGAAGAGGTTGGACAGGACTTTCTGATCAGAGTCAAGAGTGGGGTCCTGGGGCTAGCAGGTGGGAGGAAAGTCTGGGGTGACACTTACGCTGACCAGGGGCCGGGCAGCGCTGTGGTGGTGATTTGATGGTTTGCACATGGCCTGGTAGTCATACATAGTCACTCTGAAAATCAGAAACAGAATCTGGGGAGTCCAGACCTTCCCCTATTCCCTGCCCCCACCCAGGGGAAGTTTGCTGCAGGGTTTTCATTCACCAGGATTCATGAGGGTACATGGGTTAGGATAGGCAGATCAGAAAATTACATCTCGGCACTTTGCTTTAAAGAAGTTGAACAGCAAATTTGGTTTTCCCTCTAAGGGCCCATATGACCTTATACCCCTCTCCACCTCATGTCAAGTCCCTGGCTTCAGAAAGGTTGCTTTGGGAGCTCTTTGGGGCTTTTACTATGGGTTTTTGAGGTCAGGATCCCGATATCTGTCGGGACCATTTAGCATCAGCTCCTGCCTTTTCTGTGTGTATTCAGTCTGGGGAGAAGCATGTCCCACTTACTGGCTGAACACCCCCGTGCTGAGCAGCTGGGTCATGAGAGCGCCATCCACCTCCCCCAGGAATCTTCCCATCTGTGAGGGAGAGAGAGGGGGGAGAGGGAGAGAGGAAGGAAAGGATGGATGGAGAGGGAGGGAGGGAGAGAGGGGGAGAACAAGGGGAGGGAAAAGACGGAGGAGGAGGGGGCGTGAGAGATGGGTGGTGAGAGGAGGGAGGGAGCTGGAGCTGGATGAGGACTTCTAGGTCCCCCACATTAGGCCAGGCTCATTTCTGAGCTCCAGACTAGTTGCTGGTTGGGTTTCCCCTCAGATTCCTTTCAATATAATCAGAACTGTATCCATTCCACCTGGCCCTTCCCTCTTTAACCTGCTCCCCTGCCATATTCTCAGTCCTTTTTAAACTCTAAGTTGTAATCCATTAGTTGGCCATGAAATCAATATGGGGGTTGCAGTCTGATTTTTTTTTAGGCATAGAATTCCTTTGAACAATTTCATGTGAACTGCATGCAGTCAGGTTAAACAAGGTTTTGTGAAATTTGGTTTGTTGTATCTGGTGCATGTGTATGTCCTAGATCAGATGTAACATGTATTTCTTTCTGTGAATCATGGTCTAAAAAGGCTCAAAAGCAGAGTTCTGTCTCTCACACTGGCATCCTTATCACTCGGCCAAATCCTGTTTTCGGAACTCTGGAGCTGCCTTTGATTTTCCCTCCCCACTCCCCCCACCTTTCCAGTTACCAGTGTGCCCTGCGGGTTTGTCATTCACCTTCTGACTCGTGGACAGTGACTTAACCCAGACCTTTGTCAACGGCAGCTCACTCCACCCTCCCAACTGGGCTGTCTCCCAGTCCCCAGCCCTGCTGCCAGACAACCTTTCTCAAATACAGCTGGGATTTGGTCTCCTTCCTGCTCCGTCCCTCCATTACCCAATCAGCCAGCACTGGTGAACACCCACCAATGCGCCAGTGTGCCAGGCTAGGCAGTATCCTCCAAGCCTGCAAAGTCCCTCCACGTTGGTTGACACCCAAGCCTACTGTGCTCTGGCTTCAGACTGCCCTCCAGCTGCACCCCTACACCGACCTCCTCACCTGCCCTGGCCTCTTCTGCCAATTTCTCAGCATGGCAGAGTGAAAGAGTCTGGACTTAGGTACTGGATTTTGACTCAGATCCTGGCTCTGGCACTGCCCACTGTGTGGCCATGGGTAGGTTAGGGGATAATGTGTCCCATGCATCTGGCACACAGTGAGTGCTCTGTATGTGGTGGCCATATGACAGGAGATGCTCCAGGCCTTGGCTCTTCTCTCTGCCTCAATGACCCTTCCTCAGTCCCACTCCAAGGAGCTTTACTTGTCCTCCTCTAAGAAGTCTTTCTTTCTCCCCTCTCCAGCTGGAGTGATGGCATCCCTCCTCTGCACTTGGAAACCTAGAGGCTAATGACTAAGGCACGAGGCAGTAGCCATGAGAGAGCTGGATACAATGAGACACTCAGGCTTTTCTGAGCTCTGTGCTTTCTTTGGCCAGAGGCTTATTGTGTTCTGAGGCCAGAACACAGGGGACAGCAGAGAGGGGCTGAGGGCACTTAAGGGAAGGAACAGCAAGTGAAAAGGTGAGAGGCATCCAGTCCTGCTGTTCCTCACAGTGCAGCCCTGAACCCACTTGGAGTCCCTCCAGTTCAAGTCATCCCTCTCTGTCAGCTGCGGTTTGCTAAATTTTGCTGTTCCAGTGACCAGGTGTCTGTGCATTCCTGCATTACTAGACAGCGAGATCCTCCAGGGCAGACATCCACCTCCTGGCTTCTCATAGACCACACAGTGTCTTGTTCATGGTCACTATTCAGCATGTATTTGCTGAAGGAATGTGTGAGTGAATGGACAGGGGGATGAATGAGTGATCTGAGTACTCTTGCTGGGAAAGTGCAACGGGATGGAAAAGAGGCTCCTGATGAAGCTGCCGGCCCGAATTCCCACAAGGCTGTCCCTTTATCTCTCTTTGTTGTTCAGACACTTGATTCTGAGAAGACAAGCTCCTGAACACTGGGAAAAATGTGTCCTCCTCTGTACCTACACATACACAGAGTGACTTTCTAGGATATGTCACTCTGGCAGAGCATATCCATCCTCCCCTTCTTCTTTAGGTAAGGCAATCCTGACTTGAATTACGGTAGCAATGTGTTCGCTAAAACACTACATTTCCCAGACTCCCCTGCAGCTGGGGCTGGCCAATGAAATGTGAGCAAAGTTCCTGGGTGAGACTTCTGGGAATCTGTTTAAAGGGAGATCTGCTGAAGCACCTCATTCATGGCTGTTGACCTCCCCCTTCTTCCTGTCTGGAAAGTGGACAAGAAGGCAGGAACTCCTATGGCCATGTTGTGATCTTGAGGATGGGGACACCTGGTGACCACACCATACCAGGCCTGGGCTACTTTTCTCTATTCTTTCACGTGAGAGAATAAACCTTTAATTTGTTTAAAACACTGTACGGGCGCCTGGGTAGCTTAGTCAGTTAAGCAGCCAACTTTGGCTCAGTTCATGATCTCGCAGTTCCTGGGTTCAAGCCCCAAGTGGGCTCTGTGCTGACAGCTCAGAGCCTGGAACCTGCTTCGGATTCTGTCTGTCTGTCTGTCTGTCTCTCTGCCCCTCCTCTGCTCTCAAAAATAAGTTAAAAAAAAAAAACCACATAAAAAACACTGTAGTGGGGGCACTATTGCTGACAGCAGAACACTATTCTGTGCTGATAGTTTCATTTGAGCTTCATCAGAGTGAATCGATGCCTCAAATAGGTAAACTGATTTAGTTCCTGACCCTGCAAAGCCCAAGTTGAAACACTCAAACTTGAGTACCCTTGTCAGTTTAGGTCCCCCAGACTGACTGTGGCATAGCACCCAAAGCACAGCACAGCACAGCACAGCACAGGGTCTCCTGCCTCTGTCCACCCACAGCACAGTACAGGGTCTCTGGAAGCTCCAGGTCCCCATGCCATCTAGGTTTGCTCACAGCAGGTCAGGGCTCCACTTGTGTACAGGGGGCAGTCCAAAGATAAGCAATGTCCTTTGGACTGCCTGAGCTCTGGGACTGCATCCAAAGGGCCTGGGGCTTTCTGTGTTTCCTGTCTGTTATGAGGCAGGAGTGAGATGGGGTCCTGCGAGGTACCACCCAGGGCCTCGAGCAGGAAGCAGATGGGGCAGGTGGTGGCAGAGGGGGCAGAACTGATGAGTATTCCTGCTGACTGAGCAGCAGCCCTGTGCATAGGCTAATTTGCATGCCTGTGTGAAGCTACTATCCCCAGAGGGAAGGGAGGCCAGAGGATGAGTGGGGGAGCCCTTGACTCTGGAATGGGGCAAATGTCTCACAGCCTTTTACCCAGGGACAGCCTCAGTTTCTTCTCTAAAAAATTAAGGGGTGTGAGGATTAAATGAGTTACCAGAGTGAAGTCACTGTGTGTGGCTCCTCATGAGGACCAATTTCTTTTTGTTCCTTACTACTGTACAGCCCTGCCTGTTTCCTCTGAGCTTCTCAGTCTCTTGACAAGTGCCTTTGGCCCCACAGTGGGACCAGGGAAGCATGTGGAGGAGTGGCCATTAGCACCACTTTGGAAAGAGGCACCCAGAGGTCCTCTGCTGTGATGGGTCATCTCTGGGGCAGGTGGCCAGCTGAATTTTTCTCTAGAGACACCCAGCCTGAGCTGCCCAAATGAGGCTGCCTTGACCCCAGGAAGGCTCTGCTGCCAGAGCCTGGGGGAGCCTGGGATGTGCTGAGGCAGGTGGTGAGGGATGGGGGCTGGAGCGGCACGGTCAGAAGCATGAGCCAGGCAGGGAGGCTGGAGGTTTCTCCTGCACTGTGTCCACCGTACCCACTGCACTGGGAGTATGACTGGAAGACAGTGGGGGGCACTTGCTTGGTAGGTGTGTAGGAAGGCAGGGAAGGAGAAGGGGAAGCCAAGGAAAACAGGAGCTGAGTCTCAAGACAGGCACATCAGAGGCCCTGGTCTGAGGACAAGCTCAGCATTTTGGGCTGGGGGTAGAGGGGCGCATTCCTTCTGAGAGATTCAAGTCCTCAGGGAAAGACATCATGATGGGGCATCTAATTTTTTACCTTTGCTGTTCCTTTGAGGTCCACTTTGAAGCTCTCCTGTGTGGGTGCTACCCACAGGCAAATGACAGGACTTGGAGTCCCCAAATCCAGGGTGACAGATCCACTGTAAACATTACAAAGATCTATAGAGCTGTTGTCACTTTCTTGGCCCCAGCTGTCTGCTTCTCTTTCTAGGCCCCAACAGAGGGCTGTAATCCTGTCATCTGTAGTTCTTTATTAAAAGAATGAGCCCTGAGCTGGAAGAGAGGCTCAGTGGGACCAAATGTCTAATCAGCAGGACTGGAACACCACCAGGGCCAGGAGAGATTCAGGCTGCCCCTCCCTCAGGCAGACCACAGATGGTGCCTTTGGGCACTGCACTCACATTATTTGCTGGGCAGGAGGGCCGCAGTGAGGAAGGGCTGGGAGGGACTTTGGGAAGAATCTTTGCATCCAGAGCAGTGACAGTCTTCTCTCCTCCGGTCCCTGGATGGACCTCAGCAGGGACAAGGAGTAGTCTGGACCTTCTGGCACATTAGCCCAGTTGGGAAAGTGCATCCAGATCAACAGCAGCTGGCATTAAGGCCTGGGAAGTGGCTCTCAGACTTTATCACACATCAGAATCATCAGAGGCCTTGTCACATCGCAGTTGGTGGGCCCCACCCCAGACTTTCTGATTCCCTTAGTCTGGGTAGGGCCCGAGAACTTGTATTTCTGTTAACTTGTATTTCTGCTGCCGCTGCTTCCAGTACCCCTGCCCCCCAACACTTGGAGGCTTAGGAGTAAAAGGGGGGGAAATGAATGAGTTGGAGGAGGGGCCAGACCATGTGGTCCTTGACAGCACTTGGGTGTGTTTGGGGAAGGGGAAGGGATTTATGGTAGAACACTTCTGTAATGGTTCCTTGGTAGGTTGGATGTAGTAACTTGCTTCTAGTGAATAAAATATAGTAAAAGTGATGGGATGTCGCATCTGAAACTAGGTTCCTGGAGACAGTGACTTCCACCTTGTTCTCCCTCTCTCTGTCTCTGGCTCTTCTTGGCTTGCTCACTCTGATGAACCAAGTTGCCATGTTGTGAGCTGTCCTGTGGAGAGGCCCATGTGGTGGTAACTGACCATGTGAGTGAACTTGGAAGCTGACCGTCCTCTAGCCAAGCCTTGACATGAGTACACAGCCCTGGCTGACACCTTCCTTTCAGCTGTATGACAGACCCTGAGCCAGAATCAGCTAGCTAAGCCACGCCCAAGAACTGTGGGACAGTAAGTCAGGTGGCTTTAAGCCTCTACATGTTGGGGTAAATTGTTACATGCAACAGATAACTGTTACAGAGTTGTTGAATGGAGGAGTTAAAACAAAAAGCAAAAATGGATGGATAGACAGCTGATCTACAGCATCAGCACCCGCTTTCCACCACTGTGTTTCCACTCACCTTCCAGTCCAGTCCCTGCTTCTTCCAGGCCTCTCTTACCTTTAGACCAGTTTGATTCTCCATGTAGTAACTAAGTGTGTGTTGTGCCTGGTGTGTGTGGTGTGTGTGTTGTGCCTGGTGCTGCTATACCATTGGTGCCTCCCTTCCGGCCCTCTCCTAACCTGACACAGCTCCGGTCACAGGGTGAGAGTTGTCCAGAGTGAGGAAAGAGGAGCTCTGTCAAGACACTGCTCCCAGAGCCCTGGCACCAGCCTTGGAGTTTAATCTGGGGGTTGGGATGCCTGGCCTTGGTATTCAGCATCCTAGAGGCATCGGTCCTAATTCCATCAGACTCAGCCAAGCGCAGCAAAGTGAATGAACTCTGCCCCAAGCAGTAACAGAGCAGCCTGGGGTGGGTGCCCAGGCACAGGAGGACCACCCCGGAGGCTGGGGCTTGCGGTCTGCCACGCCCCCCAGAGAAGGCCTTATCTCCCTGGTCACTGTCACTGCCCTTCACTCGTATTTCTAGGCTCAAAGTCTGACTTTTCTGCAGCTGTTGGTTTTCAGGTTGCTAACCTCACCTTGCAGCCTCAGTTTTAACTCCAGGACAAAATGAGACTAATACCACTACCGGAGATGATGGTGGTGGTGGTGTGGGGCCCTGAAGTGGGGGAAGGGAGGCAGTGGAAGCACCGGAGTGTCAGAGGCCGGGGTAACCAAGCACACTGGGGGCTTGCACTCTGGAGGAGCTTCTGGATGGTCCCAACCCTATTATGAGATTAAATTTCATTTCATTTACACCCTGCTTCATTCTATAAAGGATTCGGGATGGCTTTTAAAAGTACATACAATGTTATAATAGTTGAGAAAATAGGGGTAAATAAGCTAAATAAACACATACTTTATAAAATATGTCTCTATTTGTTTTTACAAATATCCAAAGTTGTACCAACTTGTGAGCAAATGTGATCTGGGTAGAATAGGAATGGGATCAGTGCCTTTATCAAAGAGACCCCCAGAGCTCCCTTGCCCTTTGTGCCATGTGAGGATACCATAAGAAATCTGTGCCCTGGAAGAGGGCCCTCACCTGAACACATGGGCACCCTGGCTTCTGACATCTGGCCTCAAGAACCCTGAGAAATAAATTCCAGCTGTGGATGAGCCACACAGTCTGTTCATGTTGCAGTGGCCTGAAGGGACTAAGTGGGGAGGGGACGTGACTGAGGGCAGTGGGGCGATGGGCAGTACAAGGGTGTGTGGACTCTGGGAGTCAGCGGCACGGCCTCGGCACAGGACACACGCTACCCTGAGGTGGAGTTTGGTCTTGCCTCTCCTCATCATGTGGGCAGATTCTCTACCAACCATGGGATGAGGCCAGATGAGGTACAGACAAAATAAGAAGTAACATTTTCTCTGACCACCCAAGTGGAACAGTGTCTGAATTTTGTGATCTTGCTATATGGACTTGGTTTCAAGAAGAGACTCTGTTTTCTTCAGACCATTTACTCTCATCTGCTCTAAGCCAGGATTACTTCCTTCCCCTGGCTGTCCTGGCTGCCAGATGACTTGATTGCCCCCTAATTCTACTTCCCAATGCCTTACCTCCTGGGACCTCTCTGAGATCAGGATGAACCCGTTGTTGTCGATGACGAAGCAGTCCAGGAGCTGGGGAGAAACCCAGGAGGAGGTCATGGCTGGGCCATGACCCCTGGGTAACGTGCCCGTCCCGGCGTTCAGGAAGGCAGGCCTGCGTGTCCAGTGTAGAGGCACGCAGTGGGCCCAGCACTTCAGGGAAGTATGTGGTTGGGGGGTCCGTGGAAGAACTTACACTGTCCTGGCAGCTCTCTGGGCATGGCCCCTCCACAGTGCCGCACTGGAAGGAAGACGGGAAATTGTAAACTGTGTATGCCTGTGTATGTGCATCTGTATGGTGTTGTGTGTGTGTTATATTCGTATACTGATGTGGGGTTTATACTGTATGTGTTTGGTGTGTGTGTATGGTATATGTGGTATGTATGCCGTGTGTGTGTTGTATGTGTAGGGCGTCTGTGTGCAGTGTGCATGTGTGCACGTGTGGTGTATACGTGTGGTGTGATGCACGTGTGAAGCTGTGTTAGTGGGGTCAGGGCAAGGAGAAGCAGGCCCTTGCTGGCGGGTTCAGCCTTGTCTGAGGGGCCATGGCCACTGCAGCCCATGTGTGAGGGGGGCACTGGAAGCCTCATGGGGTGGCTTCAGAGGCTCCTGTTCTTTGTGATCCCACCTGATGTGAAGGGTGCTACTAGGTTATGGGGCTGGTGCCCCTTCCCCTCCCATCCCTTCCATCTTCATTCTGTGGTTTCCTAAACCCACTCAAAGGGAGGATGCAGCAACACACAGATGGGGGGGCCATGGCACAGAGGGGAAGATTCTGGCCAGAGGAGCTTGAGGAAGACAGTGAGGAGACCCAGGAAGTGGGGAAGAGCCCAGTGCGAGGGCTCCAGGCTCCGGGGAGGAAGAGCAGAGGTGGGGAAGGATGGGGTGGAGTGGGAAGCACAGGATGGACAGCAGTCAAAGCCTGGGTCTTGGCTGGAGGGATGCGGGGTGCTCTCTCCTCTGCCTGATGGGGCAGGGCAGGTGGGAGCATTGTGTCCTGCCCTTTCTCTGGGTCTGAGCTGAGACAGAGCCCCTGGTGAGGAAGGTCAAGAGTCCACATGCTGAGGTGCAGGGAACTGAGCCAGGCAGAGAAGGAAGGGATCTGGGACAGCGGACTGAGGGCCCAGGAGGTGGGCCAAGAGGCGGTGGGGGCTGCCCGAGGGAGCGGGCCCTCCTCATCCCAAGGTGTCGGCCAATCCTCTGGCCCTGACCTGGCACCTTCACACCCACCTGCCGGGTCGCTGCCCAGAACGTGCGTTGTAGGAACTCCAGCCTCATTTGGACTCCCACCGCTACAAGGAAGTGGGAAGAGGGAGGGCAAGACCATGGGCGTGTTTTTTGGGGAGGGGGTTGGTGGGAGGGAAGAGACAGTGAGAGAAAAAAATAGATCCAAGTCAGAGAGAGGAGGTGCATCAGCAGGAACTGAGGGGAGAGGTAGCATCGAGCTGAGTCAGATGGCAGTGTGCTCGAGAGCTGAGGCTCCTGTGGAGTGGGAGTGGGGAGAAAAGCAGACCGGCTGGTGGCTTCTGTCTCTCCACAGCAGGCAACACCAGAAAATGCTCAAGAGAAAGATGAGTCCCAGGTTCTACAGAACAATGAGGACAGCACTCTCCTCTGATCTTGGGAAAATTGAGGCAGGTGCACTAGGCACATCATTCTCCCTTTTCCCACAGATGGAAAAACAGGCAGAGAGACTGAGCCATTTGTTCAAGGTCATCGGACCAGAAGTGGTAGGCTGAGACTGGAATTCAGCGCCCTTCATGGAGCTTTCTAGATTTCAAGCCTGACATAACAGCCTGTCTTGTACCCCATTCCTGCTCAGGGTCTCCCCCACTTTGTAAGAAGTCTCTTTCCTTGCTGAAAGGTACGATCAGGTTTACCCAAGTAGGTTCCAGAAAACTAGAGATGCTACCAACTGGCAAAAGCTACTCTTGATGATGCCACGTCCAATGGCCACCTGTGCCTCTTTGGTTCCCAAATAGGCTCAGAGGATGCGAGCTGGAGCTCACATGCTAAGAGAAATCTGAGGTCAGAGAACATAACAAAAAGGCAGGTTATATTGAAAAGAAAAGGAATAAAAAAACTAGGTCGACTTCCTACTGTCTGGTATAATAATATTGAAAATTTTGAGTGCCAGTCACCTTCACATCCATGAGCTTATTTCATCCACACAGCGGACCAGTTCTATTCTTATTCGGACTTCACAGCTGAGGAAATGGAGGCTTGCAGAGGTGATGTGCTTGCCTAAGTCACCCAGCCCCTAAAGGCAGAACCGGGACTCAGCTGGGTCTGTTCCTAAGGCTCTTAACTGTTTGTTCTCTAGTCAAGCACTCTCCCACCTGGGGCTGCGGTCCCCTCATCAGCACAGTGGGCGTGGATCTGAGCTCCTGACTGTTATACTATATTCATGAGACATTCTAGGCACCCCAATGACCACTCATTGGAGAGATCTTCCATTGTGACCATTCTGACTTGCCAAAACTCAGCAACAGGCTCTTCTAAATGGGCTGGAGTTCTAGAATGGCACAGAGATACAGAATTGTATTTTTTTGTTTTTTCAATATGGAATGATCCTAGACAAATATTATGAAAAAAAAAATGAGACAAGGAAGGGTCAAGGGGCCAGAGTTCTGGCCCTGGGTTTGCCAAGGCTGTGATCTTTGGATTTGTTTCTTCAGTTACAAAATGAGCCATGATTATACTCGCCCTAGGAAGGCAGAATGAGTATAAGATTGTTGAGGCTCAAACAGATAATGGAGGAGAATATTATTTTACACTAGAGCCTTGGTTCTCAAACTTTGGCATGCATTAGAATCATCTGGAAGGTTTTCCCCTGTCCCTAGAGTCTCTCATTTAGTATGTCTGGGGTGAGGCCTGAGAATTTGCAATTCTAAAGTGTTTCTAGATGGTGTTGATGCTACTGGCCCAGAGACCATATTTTGGGAACCACTGTTGTAAAGCAATGCTATCTGATCGAACTTTCTGTTCTAGACCTGCACTGTTTCATACAGTAGCCACTAGACACATGTGGCTATTGAGCCCTTGAAATGTGGCTGGTATGACTGAGGGCCTGAATTTTAGGTTTTTAATTTAATTTTAATTAAATTTAAATAGCTACATGTGGCTGATGGCCACCATACTGGACAATGCAATTCTAGATACATGAATTTACAGATGATGAAACCAAGGCCCCGAGAAGCCCCTCCCCTTCTTTGGAGTCTCATGGTACTTCTGTGGCTGGAACTTTGGCTAGCCTTCTGGAACAGGTTCTATGATATGGGAACATTTGAGTTCTTTGTGCACTTCTTTGGGCTGCAAGGTCTGATGACTAAGAGGAGGGGTGGGAAGGGCGCAGGCACACCCACTTTTTGGTCATGACAAAGACGAGAGATGCACTGACACAGCACATGATCAACACATGAGGCTTGTGCTGGAGAGTCCAGCGCTGGTGACCACACCCTATCCTCCCTTCCATGCTTCCCTCTAAACTTGCAGGTGACTTCTTACTCTCTCTCCCTTTCTTCCTTTTAAGACCACCCATGATATTCATTTTAGACCATTTCTTTCACCAACAAAAGAAAGCTGAGTGAAGGAAGAAACTTTCTAAAAATTGTCAGAGAAGAGTCACACTAATGCTTAGAATGATCAGATCTTTGGGTCACTGACCCTTGTCCTTGGCTTCCATAGTCAAAGAGATTTCAGACGATTCCTAGAGGAAAACCCTGCCCTTCTACCTGCCTGCTCAGAGCCAATTCTCATGGAATCATGACATTCCAGAGCCAGAAGAAATTCTGTGATTCTAACACAGAGAGGCTTGAGAGGGTGGGAGTTAGTTTTTCCCTAATGAAACAGGTTTTTGAGGATCTTGGCTAGAAATGGGAGGAGTGGGGAACCAAGCAGATTGTCTCTCCCCTAGGTTCCATCTCACAACTGGACCAGAAGCTCTTCTTTTTTTTTTTTAATTTTTTTTTTTTAACGTTTATTATTTTTGGGACAGAGAGAGACAGAGCATGAACGGGGGAGGGGCAGAGAGAGAGGGAGACACAGAATCGGAAACAGGCTCCAGGCTCTGAGCCATCAGCCCAGAGCCCGACGCGGGGCTCGAACTCACGGAGCGCGAGATCGTGACCTGGCTGAAGTCGGACACTTAACCGACTGCGCCACCCAGGCGCCCCTTTTTTTTTTTTTTTTTAATTTTTTTTTTTTTCAGAAGCTCTTCTAAGGTGAGCTCCAGGTCCTTTGCATCTGGGTGTCCTTTGCAGAATTGAGGACATTCCAACTGCCTACATCTCCACTTGGGTCACCAAGAAGCATTTCAAACTTCACATGTTCACAACTGAACTCTGGCTTTTCCTCCCCCAAATGTGACCTTCCTTGAGACTTTTCCGTTTGGGGCATATTCCACTTAATCGTTCTCATGTTCCCTTCTTCCATCCAAGTTCGGCAGCCCTTATTCCAAAACACTGTAAGTCTGTCTACTCCACCCTCTGCTGCTACCACCCTGGGCCAGACCAACATCCCTCACTTGGATTAATGTGTTATATCCCTAAGCAGTCTCCCTGCCTCTCTGCCCTCCGTTCCCCAATAGCCATAGCAATGATCTTTCTGAAGATCAAGTCATGTCACTCCCTTGCTTAAAATCTTCCAGTGCCTTTCCACTGGTTTTGGAACAAAATCTAAACTCCTCTGTAATATGGCCTCAAAGCCCCACAGGAGCCTGCCCTGCCATTCTCTCTGATTTCAACCTGAATCATCTTCTCCCTTAAATGGCTGTGCATCAAAGCTGTGCTTCCTTCCTGGAATGCTCTTCCCCTAGAACTTTACATGGCTGGCTCCTTCTCATCATTGGATCTCAGCCCAAACATTGCCTCCTAGAGAGGCTTTCTCTGACCTCTCCAGACAGAGCAGACCACTCCTTCACCCTCCACTCTCTATTTCATCACTTTTAGTTTCTCAGCAACAGATTTATTTTATTCCCATTTATTGCCTGCCTCACCTTATTAGCATGGGGGCTAAAAGTAGGGAAGAGGGAGTAAGTTCTGATCCCTGCACCTAGTATAATACTTAACATACTGTGGGGCTCCATAAACATTAAAACATTTTTTTTAATGTTTTATTTTTGAGAGAGAGAGAGAGAGAGAGAGAGAGAGAGAGAGAGAACACAAGCAGGGGAGGGGCAGAGAAAGAGGGAGACACTAGAATCCGAAGCAGGCTCCAGACTCCAAGCTGTCAGCACAGAGCCCAACGTGGGGCTCAAATTATAGAACCACAAGATCATGACCTGAGCCAAAGTAGGAAGCTTAACCAACTGAGCCACCCAGGCGCCCGTCCATAAACATTTTTTTAAGTTTTTAAAAATTTTATTTATTCTTGAGAGAGAGAGAGAGAGAGCAGGGGAGGGGCAGAGAGAGAGGGACAGAGAGAGAATCCCAAGCAGGCTCTGCACTGTCAGTGCAGAGCCCGATGCAAGGCTCGAACTCATAAACCATGAGATCATGACCTGAGCTGAAACCAAGAGTCAGACGCTTAACTGACTGAGCCACCCAGGCTCCCCACCATAACTATTTTTTGAATTAAGTAAATATTTGTGAATTCCATTGAGTCAGCCACTTGACTGGGAAGCAAATTCTACAAGATCTTGCCATCTCATCCCTTACCTTTAGGGCTTAGGACTGAGCTGAGCTCCTTCCTCCCATATGGAGCCTGGCCTCTTACAGATCTGGACTTGAGACCCTAGAGGTTTAGCTGTGCTCTGATTCCCCTGAAGGCCTAGGAGGGAGCCCACTAAGAAACAGGGACTTTAGGGGAGACAAAAAGAGCTTCCTCATGGTAGGATCTGCTAGATCCTGACAGCAGGGGCTGGTATAGAGTGGGGGAGGTAGTGAGGATCACGGGAGCATCTTCAACAACAAATCGTCTGTTCTGCTGTTCATCATTTCAAATCCTGTTCAATTCCTGCCTTACAACCCAAACTGTACTTTTCCACCCCAGACACTGCGAGATTCCAGGCTTCTCTCCTGGGAGACCTGCCAAGGTGGCCCTTGGGTCCCTGTTCTGCTTGCTCAGGTGGTCGACTGTCAGAACCTCACTGGACGCCTGTCTCAGGGGAGCACCAGGGGGTCACCCCCCTCCTAGTGCCTCCTATAAGCCTGCTGTGTGCAGGAGATACTACTTCATGGTATTATGTTTGCAGGCAGGCACAGAACTAGTGGTGAAGAGAAATCCAAGCAAAGGGGCCATGGGAATGTGCAGCACTGGCCTCTCTGGGCTGCCACCCCCAGTGGGTTATTAAGAGACCCCCTCTTTTCTGTGCGTGATTGGTCCTTGTTTCAGAGACAGACGTTGGACCCCAGGTCCCACTACAACCTGACAGAGGCAGAGAAATGATGCTCCTTCCTCCTGCCCATAGCCGTGCCTGTTCTTCTCCCTCCCCTGGCCTCCTCCTGCCTTTCCTCTCTCCCCTGCTTCTGCACAAGGATCTCTCTTCCACAATGATCTTGTGCCTTCCTCCGAAGCAGCTTTTCTTTAACATTCCCTTGACTGTCAGACAACCTAACAAAAAGCCTCAATAAGGCCACAGGCAGCAGATGGCTTATCAAGATGTACCTATCTGCTCAGGGTCCTGACTGTCACCTCAGTGCTGCTTTGTCATTACAGATGGCAAAACAAAGCAGCTGTGCACACACACACACACACACACACACACAGAAATGATCCCTGTTGGGAGCCATTCTCCCAGCACCTCCACACTTTACCCCCTAGCTCTCATAGCTACTTTGTCCTTCCCCCCCTCTGCCTTGATAACTCAGCCTGGAGAGCGTTTAACTGATCAAGAGCTGTGAGATTAGGAGGGGCCCATCTTTTACCCTACAGGCTGGTTTTCCAGCAGATGCTCAAGGTCATAGAGTGCCAGTAACAGAAGGGAGACCCAAGATCTCAATCATTCTCCCTCCTCATTCTATAGAGCAGGAAAATAAGGCCCAGAGCTGTCAGGTTCATTAACTAGCTAATAGCTAGTTAATGAGCAGCAGAGTCTAGACTCTGGGTCTCCTGATGCCTAGGCTTGGGCTCTTTCTTCCCTTCTAGCCCTGATTCAGCTGACAAGAATGTACTGGGGTGTGGGAGAGGCAGAGTCCATTTTCTGATACAGCTCATAGTATATGAAAGAAGATAAGCCATCCCACAGAAAGCTGCTGTACATTTTCTGTGATATGAACCGCAAGGGTGCCCCAAAGAAAGGCCATAGATTGGAGAAGGTCAAGTCTGTGGACCGGACAGGGAAACTTGGTAAAGGTGGTGACTTTCTGGCTGAGATTTTAAGAAGGGGGAGGCTACCCATGGGGACGGAGGGTGTTTCAGCCTCAGGGAAGGAGCTGGGAGAGCCAAGATCTGTTTAGAGGTAAGTGGGTGCAGTTAGCCTGAAGGATAGGATGCACTTGACCTCTGTGTAGGTGAATTCCCAGGTAGAAGATGCCCTCTTTCCTCCTGGAACAGTGGTCTGAGCCTCTGCTGCTGTGTTGTGCAGCAGGGCAGACAGAAAAGATGGTGCAGGAGCATCTGTCAGAGGCATCTTGGGGGTTTCTCGACCTGACCCTCACCTCTGCCCCAGTCCTGATGGTGAATCCCCCAAGGAACACAGGTAAAGTGGAAGAGGGACACCAGGATACCCCTGACATATATTATCAACGTGCCATGCCACCTGCTTGTCAGGCAGATTTTAAGAGATGCAAGGAAGGGTCACTTAGGGGTCTGTGCCCCAGGCTGGGGCTCCTCCTCTGGCTTAGTTGCTGGTGTCTTTTGCCTTTGGATCAGACACTTGCCATCTCTTGGAATATCAATTTCCTCAACTTCTTTGTCCTGATTAGTTAGCAACGAGGCCTCTGAGTTCTTGAATACCAGTCTCTTCCCTTCTGCAAGCCTACCTCATCTAGATAAGAACAAGGAGCCTAAAGAAGCCAAGTCAGATGGGGCGGGGCTGCATTTACCCCTGGTTCCTCCAGGGCTCACCCCAGGGCACTACAGACAACCTGTCAACCAGCTCCAGTCCCCTTAGCTCCCAGCCTGTCAGCCTTGGCATTTTACTTCCTTAAATAGCCCTGGTCTGGGGTCACTGAAGCTCAGTGATCTATGTGTGACCATGACACTAGCTCTGTGTGGCTCAGGGCCCCTTTCTGGAGGACTGCCAGGCATATGGGCTGTCCTGTGCATCCCTCCAATGACCCTCTCTGGAATAAATCACCCTTTGACTGGGAAAAGGGTTTAGTTTTTCCTTTTCCACAGGCAGGATGGAAGATACTACCCTGCAGATCTCTGAACGGGAGACAGACCCAGCCTCCTAGGGGCCTCTCTGCCCTCTGGGTCCTGGCCCTCTTTCTCCAAAGGGAAGGGGAGAGACAGGAGAGGGGGGTGGCGGTCGGGGCAGGGAGAGCTTGGAGGACATTGGGGAAGGAAGATGGAGGTACAGGGTACAAGGGCTTTCAACAGCTTTCCTCCTTTCGAGTTGGAAGCAGTTAATCCATAGGTGCTTTTTTCCACCGAAATGTGAGCATTTCAAGGGTGAGCGCTGCCCTCTGGCCGCAAGCGCCTCCGGTGTGTGTGCGCCTGTGCGCGCGGCGCCTGTGTGTGCTACTGTCGCTGTCATCACAGATGTACCCCCAGCTGTCACTCCATTGCTCCGTCTCTTCGCTTGCGCGCACACGCGCGCGCTCCCCTCCTCTCCCTTTCTTCCCCTTTCCTATCGGTCTCCCTCTGTCCCTCCCTCTTTCCTTCTCAGTTTGCTATTGACCCAGCAGCCCCGTCCCCCTGGCAGCTGCGGCAGGCATTCCTTCTCCCCCGTGCTGTGCGCTGCGTGCCAGGTCCCTGCTCCCGGCCGGGCGACTGGAGACTCAGTGCCCCCAGCGCTCCGCTGGGCAGTGCTGTCTGGATTTCTCCAGGAATCCCAGGAGGGGCTCGCTGGACGGCTAAGAGCTACTTGATTTAAGGAGCTTGCGGTCAGGGTGAAGAAAGGTGAGTGCTGTCCTCTGGAGAGAAGGAATGAAGGGCCGGTGGGGCTGCAGGGTAGCTGGGTCACAGGGAACAGGGCTCATCTTTGCTGGGTCTCCTGGCCCTGCACAGACAGTGGCTGTTGCCTGCTGCCTGGGAGCGATGGCTGGGGTTGGGGAAGTGCTCAGTACCGGACATCTGGGCGACCCAAAGATACAGGACCCAGGGGTACTCTGACATCACAGCATTGGGGAGGTGAGCTGGGATTCTGCTGGGGAGGGGGCAGCTGGGGAAGGGGAGGGGAGAGGAGGGCAATGCCAGTGCCAGATGACAGGCCCTGGGGGGCATAGAAACCAATCCCTGCAGCACGGGGAGTGCCAGCCGAGAGCCCTGTGCTGTCTGCCTGCCCGGCTCCCGGACACAGCCTGAGGAGCTTGGGTGCTATGGAAAGGGATGCTGGTGACAGGGCTGGTACAGAGGACAGCTTGGTGGGGCGGGGGGTGGGGGGGTGGGGATGGCAGGCTGGAGGACTCTGCTGTTTGAGGTCTGGGAATAGACCTGGGGCAGCCTCTCTGCAGGATGCCCTCAGCACAGGATTGTCGGCCTTCAGGAAGCTGCCCTTGTACAGGGTGCAGTGGAGCTCTTCCCTACATGGACATGGGTCCACGCGGCTGTTGGGGAAGCCTCCCTGGTGGGGGCGTGGCTGGGAGTGGACGATGGAGAAAAGCCTTGCAGCTCTTCCTTGGTGAGCCTGAGGCCTTGCTCCCAGCCCTCCAGGGTCCCAGGGGCAGGGGATGGATCCAGGCTTGTGAGAATTCGCTCGGGGTGTCCCCCAGCTACACACCAAGTCCTCTATCCATAAATGGGTTCAGAAGCCTTATGCCATGGTGGGAATTGTGGACTCAGCTTAGGGGGAGAGGGTGGTATATGGCCAAGCCATTCCTACCTGGTTTCCCAACCCAGTGGGGCATGGACACCCTGAGTTGTATCAGGAAAGCTGCTCTCAGCAGCCCCGAGGCCCATTTTGACAATGCAAAGAGGATAGTCTGACCAGGAGTCCAGACCACCCAGCTCAGTTCCAGTGACTGCTTTGTCTTTTCCTTGAGCTAAGCTTTTCAGAGTTTCTGGGGGTGATGGTGAGGGTGGCACCTGGCTGTCAGGGCACATTAGGCATTGCCTTGGCATGACTCAGATTGACACCCGGCAGCTTAGATAACTACATAGGCTGGGGGAGGGGAGGGGAGGCTGAGCACGTGGAGGGGGCGGGGGAAGTCCAGCAGGAGGGAAACCCGAAGCAGCTTCCTGCTTTTCCCACCCCACCTCCCCGCTGCCACAGTCTCTGTCTCGGGCACTGCCAAAAGAGGGAGCCCAGGAAAGCCAGCCTGGGGGTGGCAGGAGAAGGAGGGAGGTTTCTTAAGCAACCGATCTGGTTTCTTTGGGGTTTGGCTGGAAGCTGTGTCTGGGGCCCAGATAAGCAAACCTTATTCCCATTTCCTAGGCACTAAAGCCAAGGGGCCCTACTGGGCTGTTTTTGATGGAATGGGTATCATGGGGAGGAGGCAGGGGAGGGCCTTTATGTAATGTTGGGGTGTCTGGGGAGGAAGGACTTGGAGCGGAGGCAGTCTCTCTTCTCGGGTTCTCCCTCCTTCTACCCAGGTCAAGCCTCTTCTGTCCCCCTTCCCACCCCCCACCGCCCCGACCCAAGGCCATGGCCTGAGCCCAGATCCATGACCTCAATGAATGTGCTTAGTTTGTTCACAACAGAGAGGGGCTCCGGTGAGGAACGACTCAGGGGGTGTTTCTGTTCTGATTAGCAGAGGATCTGTTTGGGATCAGGAATATTCAACAAGGAAACCAGGATGCAGGAAGCTGGGGGTGAGAATGGGGTATGCATTTTGAAATGAACCAGGAAGGTTTGCCTGTTCCAAGTACAGATAGATTAAAAAAAACCTGCTTCCGTGCTGCCTGGGCAGTGTATGTTATGGGGGTGACAGGCAGGAAGAGACTGAGAATGTCTCTTGGAAGGGCCCAGATGGCCAGACTGGAGGCAGCAGGTGCAGAGCCCAGCCCTGCACAGTCCCCACCAAACAGGGCTCAGCTCAGGCCGCTCTGCGGTGCAGGTGCCTCTCACCCTCTTGGTGCTTCTCACCCGCCTGTGACCTTCACCTTTCTGCAGAATGAAGTGGGTGCACAGGCGACTACGAAGTCCCTTTCTGCTTGTAAGTCCTGTGAGTCTTGGATGCTGAGGGCGTGCAGAAGCCTTGTCCTCAACGAGAGATACTTGACCAAAGGGAGAGATACCAGTGGAGGTGAATGGCAGGGACAGCATGATGTCCCAGGAGTCAGGAACCCTGGGTTGAGGTACAATAGGCATTAAGCAGTTGTATGGTTTGGACACTTGACTTGGGGAGATGGACGTGACAGAGGCATCAGGGGAAGGGTGTGGACACCAGGCTGCTGGTGGGTGTGCTGGAGATTTCTAGCTGGGGTCTGAGGCAGCTCCACTTGGAGGATTATCTCTGTCTGTAGGAGGAATTGAAGGGGCAGAAGCACAGAGAGGCCATGGCTCTGCACCGACCTAACCTGAGCACTCGGATTTGGGGGCTCTGGCTGGCTGCTCCTCGCCCAGGGGGCTGAGGTGAGGTGCCCCACCCGGGAAGCAGCCCCCACTCCCAGTCTCCAGGGGATGCTGCACCCACTCAGCTCAGCAGGAGCACGTGGAACCTTCTGCTCTTATTGCTGCCTCTCATTCTATCACTATCCTCCACGCCTGGCTTCCCTGGAGCTCCCAGACTACCCTCCTCACCTCAGCACCCAACCTTCTGCCGGAAGGTTTCTAGAAAGCCCCCTTCCCTTCCTTTCCTAAGATCTTGGCCACCTGGGGCTTCTCCCTACATCTATGATGCTACTGGAAGGAGGGGCTGGGAGGGGGAGACCGGGCTTGTGTCTGAGTCCAGGACCTCACAGACCCTGTTTCTTCATCAGGAGGAGGGGCATTAAACCTCTGCCTCCTCAGATCCAGTGAGACAGTGGGTGAGGGAATGCTGTGTAAACTGTGAAGTACTGTATAAGTGAAAGGTTGCGTCTCCCTTTTCTGCCTTTTCCTTCTTATACCCGGAACCTCCGTGTGTAAACAGACCGGGAACAGAATAGCCCGAGAAGCCTATAAAGGCAGCTGAGTTAGTAGTTTTGTCACCAGACTGCTTGAACCCAAAGCTGTATTCATTCTTCCAGGGCCTATCCAGAGGCAAATTACTTAATTTCCTTTGCCTTAGTTTCCCCATCTGCAAAAATGGTGTTAAAAGTAATACCAACCTCAGAGAGTTGTTATGAGGACCAAGGACACTATACACAGACGTTTGTGGCTATGGTCACCGCTTCTTCCCATACAGAGGCTTTTTGAAGGGGGTGCCAGTGTCAGTATCCTCCCCACTAGGCCCAGGTCACTGACGCTTCCGAGATGGGGCCTGGCTTCCAGAGACTGACTGGCATGGCCTCCTGGGAGCTGCCGGGGCCTGCTGGGGGAGAAGCAATCTCGTCTTGTGCTTCTCAAGCTTGGGATCTTGTTAAAATTCAGATTCTAATTCATTTGGACCAGGGTGGGACCTGAGATTCCACATCTAAGAAATGCCTAGGTGAGGCCCATGGACCATGCCGAGTAGCAAAGGGTTCTCAGGGGTTCTCCATCTGATTGCTTGTAGCTCCTTGGCCCCATCCTCCAATCCTGGTTCTCTCAGCACAGGCTGGCAAAGGAAGCAGGGGTTTCCTGCTGGGGCCCAGCCCCTCTCTCTGGTGTCTCTGTCTCTGGGACTGGGACAGTGAGTCCCATGATGATTAGGAGCAGGTCTGGCATCCAGAGCCAGGAAGCTGTAGGACTTGGAGGTAGATCTTTCTGGCAGGACCTCCCTGCTCTCTTCTGTCCTTCATTCTCCATCCTGGGTGGGACTTCCCTCTCAGACAGTGTAAATTTATTCCAGCAGCCGGCCAGCGCCTGCTGCAGCAGCTGCTCTCCTAATGTAGGTCACCCCCTTTCCTGATGAGGCTAGATACTTCTGGGGGTAGGAAGGGCTTCTTTGGTTGGAGGTGTGCTTGTGGGCAAAGGGCCAAGGAGCCAGGAAGTGCTGGGTTCTAGCCCCAAATCTCCCTAAAGGTCACTTCCATGGTGCCCACGGAGGCAGGGCCAGCTCCCTAGGGAGCACAGGTGAAGCCCCCATCCCCTACCCATGGGCCTGGGGGATTTTGTTTTCATCACATATCTCCAGAGATACTAGGGTCAACAGTGCCCTGCCACCTTGAAAGATGATGCCTATGGGTCTGCATTATGGCAACTTGCCTGACTTGCCTTGTATAGGTGACATTGTCTAAGTCTGGGGATGGGCATCAGGACCTGCTCCAGGCCACTGTCTCCACTGATGGGTGCTTGCTGGTCAACTCCTCGGCTCACCATGGGTGTGACACTGAGGTCAGGGAGGGGTAAGTGGGGTGGAAAAGGAGAACCTGCTTGAAAGAGGAGAGGAGGTTCAGGTGGACATAGGGCCTGGGCTTGGGTGAGAGGGATTCTCTGCCACCTGTCTCCTTGCAGAAAGCTGGAAAGAGCAGAGCGGAGGCCTGGATTGGGTCTCCAGCACCCTTGTGGGTCTGGGTATAGAAAAACTCCTGTGGTAGAGATTGCCTTCTAGGCTGGAGGTACCCCTGTACATCTGTCCGCTGGGGGCTTCTGGGACCTGCCAGGCATCTCACTGTGCTGACTGTTGGCATCTGAAGAGGAGGGCTGGAGGGCTGCTGGCAGGGCATGTGTGTGTGCACGCGTGTGTGCATGTGTGTGTGTGTGTGTGTGAGCACGTGCCTAACTGCACAGCTCTCTGTGGGTGTGTGTTTGCACCAGGTGCTATGTTGGAAGCTCCACACACGTGTCTGGGAGCCTATGTGCACCCTGCCCTGACATATGTGTCTTCCCTTAAGACCCCACAGTTGCCAGGGAGTGGATGAGCAGCCAGGCTCAGAAGCCCATGACCTATCTCTGATCTAGCGTGTGACCCTGAGCAAGTTGGTCCTCATCTCTGTGCCTTGGATGGCCACCAAGCTGCCTAATATTGTGTGGGTGCTGTGAGCTCTGGATGTGAGGGTTCTTGCTGGAGAAACAGATCGTTCTGAGGGTCAGGGCCTGAGGGACACAGAGAGGCTGGACACTGTCATCTGCAATGGAAGTCTGTGAAGCCTGTGTGTGTGGGGTGTCTGGCCATGAGCATCATGTGATGGCCCATCTGCTCAGGAATAGAGAAGTAAACACATGCGTGAGGTTGGTGGGACCAGGAAGGAGACATTACCTAGAGCTGTTGCAAGCTGCTCTCCCCTACCCACAGAAGAAGGGAACTGGTGTTTCCTCACATCTATCATGGGCTCAAGTCCAAGCTGGGCACATTCGCCTGAATTCTCTCCTAAGGTAATGTGTACTAAATATAGTAAATGCTAACTCTCCTCCCTTAATTAAATGGATCCACACAGAGATTCCGCCCATGAAGTATTACGATCACCACTTTTAGAGATAAGATAATTGGAGCTCAGAGAGTGTACGGGTTTGTTTAAGGTTGCACAGCTAGGGAGTGGTGGACCAGAAGGAAACTAGGAGTCCTGCCTGCCTGGGCTTCTGAACTAGGAGCCTATGGGGGCCTGGCCCTGAGAGAACAGCTGGAGAAGATACCTGAGCTGCTCTAGGCTTCTTCACACCTCAGCCAAGAGGCAGTGTGGGGAACCTGGCTGTTCCCCATGCCCCATGTCAGGGGCCACTTGTTGTGGCTGTCTCTGCCAGCTTCTGGGAGGCCTGTACAACCTGGAACCGCCCCCCCCCCCCGGTGGAGGGGTGGGGGGAAGGCAAAGCCAAGACCCCCACACACCAGGATGCTCTTGCTGGTAGTACAGCTGAAGTTCTCGCAGGGGTCGCTGTGTTTTATGTGGGTTTTGTCACCAGAGGCAGCTGGATTCAAGAGTGGGAGCTGGAGAGGCAGTGAGAGACACCAGGAGCTGCAGCAGGACCTGAAATGCCTGAGGGAAACTCGCTTCACTGGGTGCAGAGACTTCAGAGCTGAACGCATTAGCTTCCCAGCAGCCCATTCCACCTCCTCAGCTGCCTGCTTAACTCTGCCCCTGGCTCCGGAGGATGGGGGCAGGGGAGGGGGCGAGGAGAGGGAAGGCTGCAGCAGGAAACCAGAGGAGCCAGCCAGAAGCAGTGGGCTGAGAGGACGGTGCCCTTTGGGAGCCGGAGGGGCTGGGCTGTGGGCAGGGTCTTCCCTTCCCCTGTCCCCTTCCCCACCTTGTCCCATCCTGCTGCAGGGCAGCCCACCACAGTCTCCTCTCCCATTCCTCTGCTGGGGCTGGGAGAGTGGAGGCTCTGGCCTCTGTCTAAGGGCCTTAGCCATATCTGGAAGGAAATGAGGACCAGAGGAGGGCCCGTGTCCCTCTTATTAGCCATAGGGTTGGGGCAGGGCAGGTCCTGAGACCTTAGACAGGGTGAGTACCCCTCTTTCATCATCTGCGAGAGAAACCTGCCTTCTTGCAGCCCCAGGGCCAGTCCTAGCCCTCCCTGTGCTCCAAAATCTCCTCTTCTCCTTCCTGCCCCTGTCTCCTGCATAGACAGCTGCTGCATGAACTCCCTGAGCTGATGAGTCTTATTATAGCCCAGCGGGCGGAAGACAGAGCACTGCACCTCACCTCTCAGGCAAAGGTGGAGGGGAAGCAGGAGGCCATCCGGCAGCAAGAGCGAGGCCCAGGCTGCACACCTGACTCAGCAGCAGACTCTGCCTCCTCGGGGGCCATGGTAAGAGCAGCGCCAGGCCTGGCAACAGTGTCACTATGGCCTCACTCTGCTTACCTGGTAGACAGATCCCTCAATTTCCCCATCTGTGACATGGGGGAAAGCCCACAAAGGAGACCATAAAATGTTTCCAAAACATTTTAGAGATCAACACACCAGAGAGACCACAAGAGAGACAGGGGAGAGGATGCAGAAGAGTCCCACACACAGAGCCCAGTGCTATGCCAAAGGCCGGAGCCTGCCTCCTTGCCTCCCCAGTCACCCAGGGAAGTGGAAGGATTCCTGGCTTCTCTGCCCCTCGTACCCATCCCACCCCCACCCCCCAGGGAACCATAGCTGAGCTGAGAAGGACAGGAGAGGGGACGACAAGGAGTGTAAAGAGACACCTGGCCCTCTCCCTAACCCCTGGGCTGGAATGGGGCCTCGAGTGCCTGCTCACCACTCTCTTTCTCTCTCTCTCTCAGGACTGACAGCACACACCGAGAGGCTCCTCTCTCCCCAGAGGTTCAGGGCCTTGAGAGCTGTGGCATTCACCATGCTGGCCCGGGGCAGTGGCCCCGAGCAAAGGACCGGGCTTGCCGTGCTGTGGAGGCAGATTTACTGTGAGTACCATGGGGTGGGGGCAAGTGGCAGGGGCTAGCCTGGCGTGCAGGGATGCATGCCAGGCTTCAGGGGGCTCTGGGGGCCAGAGGTTGCCCTCTAAAATCTTGCCCATGCTACGCATCTGTGGCAAAGGAAGAGTCGACGCTGAGAGCTTTAGTGGTTAAATTGGGAGCTGGAGGCCATGATGGGTGGACCTGTTTTCCTAGGTGAGTCTGTTCCTGTGCCCAGAAGTCCAGTTTAGGAGAGTCCTTTTGTTCTAATGGCGAGTCTCCCTCATTTCTTCCATTGGCTGGGTGAGCCTGGAGACTTCTCTTCTGCCTCAGACTTCCCAGCTCTGAAATGGAGGGAGCTAGAGAGCTCCTGGGTCGTGGTGCTGGAAGGACCTTACAGGTTGGGTCCCACCCCTCCTTCTGAGGAGACTGAGGCGTCCATTTCCCATAAGAAAGGCTTTAAGTTGTCAGGTTGAAAGAAGCCCTGAGAATTCTCGTCACATGAGGGAGAGGGCTGAGGTCTGTAAGGACCGGTTTGCCCAAGGCTGTGTGGTTAAGAGGTAAGACATAGTCCTAAAAGACATTATTCTGCCTGACTTCTCCCCTCGTAAGGTCAGTCCTGTGATGTGGTTGCCCCACTACATAAGCAGCCTGAATTATTCATCATGTGAGAATGGCTGATCCCCGAGCTGCTCAGATCCCCTTTCAACCTCATTCTGGAATCATTCAACACCTTGCAATACAGGATTATGTTTTCTTGTCACCAGAGCTTTTATGTCACCCTGAATTTCTCAGGGGGGGAGAATAATGGCTTCTGGTTATGTTGATCCTTTTGAGAGGGAAGCTGGATGGATTGAATTTTTTCCTGTGGAAAGTAAAGTCTGAAGAATGTTGATTTTCAAATGGCATAGTGGGGGTAGTGTGGGGGCAGGCTGACCTGGCAGCAGACGGGCTCAGAGGGGTAAGAGGGTGACAGGTAGCAGCAGGTGTTCACATGTGGCCAGGGAGGGTCACTAGTTGGCTCCCATGGCCATGACTGTGCTCATTTCCCCCTGAGAATGAAGAGGCTCAGGTGTCAGCCTTGCAGTCTGCTTCTCAGCTGTCAGTGACCCTGCAGGTATGTGTGTGTGTGTGTGTGTGTGTGTGTGTGTGTGTGTAGGGGCGGGACAGTCCCCTACTGTTCCTTCAAGCTCTGCTCTTGAGGACACCAGACAGTCGGACATCTACCAGACACAGATTCATTCAGGCACTCAAGTCAGGGTGGCTGCTGCCTGTCTGGGTGGGGCCACCTGGGCCACGAACTGGGTCTGAACTTCTCTGCCACTTCCCTGGCTAGGGTCTTTCCTCTGGGCTTCTCTTTCCAAAAGAAAATGGCCACACTACTTCTCCCTTCCCTTCTGCACCCCCACACCTGGAGCTGCACTAGCCTAAGACATGCCATGAACGGAAGAGAGAGAGCACAAAAGGGCACTCCCACCCCTGGCCCTCTACAGCCTCCCACGTGCTGTCAGATCTGCATGAATCCCACATCCAAGATGGGGCCAGTAATTTGCCAGACCGGGTGCTGACTTAGTGAAGTTGAACTATTTTGAGCTCATCCCAGGGATGAGAAAGAGAAAACTCTTTCACAGTGAGCAAGCTTCTCTGATACTCAGGAAGACACTTAACTTTCGCAGTCACTCTGAAAAAGGGCTGCTGGGCAATAGGATGAACTGCTCTGTTGTGATTGTTCTTTTAGGCCCCTCTCCCACCCCCCAGCCCTTCCCCGGACTAGGCTCTGAGCTTACTCAGAGGGGTCCTGGGCAAAACATGGGACCACTAATGGAATGTTGTTAATGGGTCCATTCTGTAGCCCTTAGGAACAGGAACCCAGCCTAAGTTCATGGCAGGTTTTAGAATGAGAATAAATAGGAAACTTCTGGACCTATGGTGTGAAGTGGCTTGTGCCCAAGTCTTCCTCAGCATGGAAGTGGAATTGTGCATCTTATCCTCATCATTTCCACAGTGGTCTCTGGAGTGGGACTGTAGATGGGCTCAAGCTTCTGGTCTTCATGCTTCCATGCATGGCATGTCTTAGCCTAGTACAGCTCCAAGTTGGGGCGGGGGTACAGAGGAGAAGGAAGCAGTAGTGTGGCCATTTTCTTTTGGAAAGAGAATCCTTCTCTGTGACACTGGGAGAGGAACAAGGGAGGAGGCTTCTTTGACTACTAGATCCTTTATTTTGTCAACATCTATGGTGTCAGTGGGCCCAAACTCCCAAGAAGATCAACCATGGGAGGCCCTGCAAGCTGGGACATTTTTGTGGAACAACATTGCTTGTCTTCTGGACTCAGGTCTGCCATTCTGCAAGACTGTACTCCACTAAAGGGATTCTTTTGCTAGATATGCTGGGAGGCAAGAAGCCCTACTGACACTGTGTGATGTCCAATAATATAGACCTGCTTTGGGTTTGTTAATTATCTTTTTATGTGGTCAGTAAAGGTTTGTGTATTGACTGTGGCTTGGGCCAAAACAGATAAAGTCAAGAGGCCATTATGATACAAATTAGAAAGGAGGGCATAGAAGCAGGAGGTGATAACCCCCAGCCTGTTGCTTTCTTTCCACCTCTTTGTTCTCTTCCCCTCCAGGGATCACCTGCTGGATCACCCTGTATGCTGTGGAGGCCCTCCCCGCCTGCCCCTTCTCCTGTAAGTGTGACAGCCGCAGCCTGGAGGTGGACTGCAGTGGCTTAGGCCTCACCATGGTGCCCCCGGACTTGCCCGCTGCCACCCGAACCCTCTTACTCTTGAACAATAAGCTGAGTGCCCTGCCTAGCTGGGCATTCGCCAATCTGTCCAGCCTGCAGCGGCTGGACCTATCCAACAACTTCCTGGACCAGCTGCCCCGTTCCATTTTCCGGGACCTGACGAATCTTACAGAGCTGCAGCTGCGCAATAACAGCATCAGGACCCTGGACAGGGACCTGCTGCAGCACTCGCCCCTGCTTCGCCACCTGGACCTGTCCATCAACGGCCTGGCCCAGCTGCCCCCTGGCCTTTTCGATGGACTCCCGGCTCTGCGCTCCCTATCACTTCGCTCCAACCGTCTGCAGAACCTGGACCGGCTGACATTTGAACCCCTCGCAAGCCTGCAGCTGCTGCAGGTTGGGGACAATCCCTGGGAATGCGACTGTAACCTACGTGATTTCAAGCACTGGATGGAGTGGTTTTCCTACCGAGGTAAGCACAGCTAGTCCTGCCTGGGTGTGAGGAATTGGGAGGGTCACCCCCTGGCCCAACACACTTCCTGGAGGCTGAGTGCTGACTCAGGGCTGAGGTCCAGGGAGAAGGGGGTGGTCCTACCTCTCTACCAGCAGGGCTGGCTGGAAGAGTCTCAGCCTCGGTTCCAAATCATCAGCAGGGCTGAGAGGCCCGTGCTGCTTTCCCTCCTGTTCTACTGATACGCTTTCTTCCCTGTGTACCCCTCCCAGCTCCCAGCCTCCTTCCTGTTCTTTTTCTTTTAGACTGACTCACTGTAACTTGATCTCACTTCTGTAGGTTTCATGAGGCAACTTAAAGACTCAGTATAATTTTTCTCTGCATCCCACCAGGTATGCCTCTGGGCTTCCCTGGCATGATAGGAGGAAGAAAAAACACCCTTGCTCTTCTGAATAATACAATACCTTCTTAAATATCTACAGTTTCAGGAGTGTGGAATTTAAATCCACAGATAAAACCAAATTTTCACTTTGATGATGATCTCAACTCTCTGTCTCAAGAAGTTTTATATTCAAAGCTTTTAATAAGCCAACTGTCTTTAGGTTTTTTTTAATGTTTATTTATCTCTGAGAGAGAGAGAGAGAGAGAGAGAGTGCAGGTGGGGGAGGAGCCAGTGGGAGAAGGAGACACAGAATCTGAAGCAGGCTCCAGACTCTGAGAAGTCAGCACAGAACCCAATGCGGGGCTCAAACTCACAAACTGCGAGATCATGACCTGAGCAGAAATCAGATGCTCAACTGACTGGGCCACCCAGGTGCCCCCACCTATCTTTAGTTTTACTCTTTTCCCTTCCCCTTTTTGTTAACCTGGGAAAGTTCTAGAATGACTATAAAATGGAATGGAAAAGGAGGGCAAAGAAGTGAGCATAATGGTTAAAAGTGCCAGATCTGGGTTTGATGTGTGGCCCTGTCACTCACTTACTAGCTGTGGGATCCTGAGAAACCTCTTTGTGGTAGTGTTCTCATCTGTAAAATGGGGCAAATAACACCTATCTCATAGAATCATTGTGAGGATTAAATAGTAATGCACAAAAAGTGTCTCGACAAGTACTTAGCATAAAGTAAGTCCTCCATGAAACCTATTCACTTATTTGTTCATTTGTTAGTAATATCCATAATAGCAAATGGACTTAATAAGACATAATTTGTGCCCAGCACAAAGTAGACGCTCCATGAATATTTGCTGAATGAGTGAATCAGTATGAAGAGTATGCTTTTCCTCAGTCTTACTCCTTTTGTTTCATATCCAGCCACCATCTCAATTATTTGGGTGATATTCTCATGTGTTAGTTAATTAAAAAATTTTACAAACTGTAAAGTGCCATAAAATGTTAGTCACTATGATGATTTCTCCCATTTTTGTGAGTTGGGAAATAATAATTAATATAGCTTCCAGTTTACAAATATTTTTTCATGTACATTATCTGTTTAATCCCTATAGCAGTTAAGTGAGTTAGCTGTTCTTATTTTATGGCCAAGAAAACAAGACTCAAATGCAATTAAATTAAATAATTTGTGCAAGATGATTCAACCTCAGGTTTTGGAGCAGGAAGGTGAGGTTGTCCCCATCTCAGCACCCAGTTCCTGCCTGTACAGAGGTGGCTCTTGGACACATTTCACTGGATGTAAGACCTGCCATAGGTCACCCAGGCAGTCAGTGGCATAGGGGAACTAGAAACCAGGTGTCTTCAGACCCATGTGTTATCCCAAGGGAATGTCCTTGTCCTTTCATATAGTCATCAGGAACTAAATTCTCAGCACAAGAGGGCATGGAATGGGAATATATATTTTTGGAAATTTCAATAGTACAGTTGTTTTCAACCTTGCATTTCTTTAAAAAAAAAAATCCCAGGGTGTTTTCATCAGCATCCCAGGAGAAGCATATCTGTTGTATGAGGAGGCTTGCAGCAGCTGTGCTGGGAGATGGACCTGGGAGTGATGGACTGGCAGGAGCACATTTAGCAGGGGCCATTTAGAAGGGGGGGGGGTGTCCCTTGCCTGGAAGTGGATAGAATGCCAAAATCTGACTTTGACATCCTAGGGGATTCTCCTCAGCTACTTTCTCTCTTACCCCACCCATGTTCTTCATCTACATGCCCTCATGACTTCACCATTGTGTGGCTATCACTATTGTTGTGATTAGCCCATGCACCTATTGCTGCCCACACCCCCTCATTAGCACTGGCCCCCTCTCCTTTGCCCTCATGGGTTTTCAGGATTTCCTTTCAAGATGCTGCTTCACTCAGAGATGCTGTGGTTGGGGTGCTAAGGGGTTATAGTTGCTCTTAAAAAGGAAGAGGAAAACATTATCACCCGACCTTTTTTCTCCAAATAGGTGGTCTTGGGCAACCAAAAGGTTCTGCATGGAAGCGTGGTCCTGTTTGTGAGAGGGAGGAGCTCTGGAGTAATTAGATACTGTGGAGAACAGTGCCCTGGGTTTACAGATAGTGAACGGGCAGATTCAGGGGCAAGGAGAAGAGAAGAATTATAGCCTGGGCAGGGTTCTTGGCTCTATCTTTGCATTGTCAACTCTTCCCTGAGTACCTCCATATATAAGCATTGCCTTACTCTTGTGCATCAGTTTGACACTGGAGGGAGCAGGCTTGACTGAAATGGTTGTGTGCTGCTCTAAAATGGGAATAATGGTAATATCCATTTCATATGGCTTCTGTGTAGATGAAATGACATGATATAGGTACCTCACCTATCATGATACTTGGCTTAATAAATGCTAGTTTTTCTTCTCTCTTCCTCTCCTATTGATGTGATTTCAGGACTGACTGCATTCCTGATAGAAACTAGACCTTCTGGGCTTTCTGGGGATGGGGAGAGGGAGTCCAGGTTCTGCATGTCTCGTCATCTCCTCTTTTTTTTCTCCCTGGATGCAGGGGGGCGCCTGGACCAGCTTGCCTGCACCCTACCTAAGGAACTGAGGGGGAAGGACATGCGTGTGGTCCCCATGGAGATGTTCAACTACTGCTCCCAGCTGGAGGATGAGAATAGCTCAGCTGGGCTGGATATTCCTGGGCCACCCTGTACCAAGGCAAGCCCTGAACCTGCTAAACCCAAGCCAGGGGCTGAGCCCGAGCCCGAGCCCAGCACTGCTTGCCCCCAGAAGCAGAGGTATCGGCCGGTGAGCGTGAGGCGGGCCATCGGCACGGTGATCATCGCGGGGGTTGTCTGTGGCATTGTCTGCATCATGATGGTGGTGGCTGCTGCCTATGGCTGCATCTATGCCTCCCTTATGGCCAAGTACCACCGGGAGCTCAAGAAGAGGCAGCCCCTAATGGGGGACCCGGAGGGTGAGCATGAAGACCAGAAGCAGATCTCTTCTGTGGCGTGAGAGCCCAGCCCCACTTGGCCTAGGTAGGATGGGCTGGGAGAGCACTCTGGGGATTGCTTCAGTAAGGGCTTGCCCTTCCCTTCACCATAGCCCCCCCCTCCCCTCTCCTCCCCATCCCTCCAGCAAACAAGCCACAGTGCGGCTGTCTCCATGAACTTCCAAGTCTCTGCGGAAGCCACCCTTGTGCTAAAGGCTCCTGCTCATGCTCCTTTCTGAGCCACCAAGTCTCTGGAACACCTGGGGGATCTCCCTAAGCTTCTGGCCATAGGGAAGAAAGGATATGTGTGCAAGTGGAGGCTTCTGGACTCAGTGTTCCCCTGTTGCCCTTCCTGCCCTGGCTGTAGACTGGGTGACTCTCCCTACCTCCTGCTCATAGCACCTCATCTGCATTAGGGGTGGGGAGGAAGTGATAGGGGGGCCAAGGGTCAACTTCTGTGACCCTCTTCTAAGCCAGGAATATATTTTCAGCTGCCCTTAGTGTCGGAGTTGGGTCCAGCTTTCAACTGCTAGTACTAATGTACAATCACACCAGCCATGGCATCTGGACCCAGCTCTAAGAAACATGATTATAACACACCCCCTCTGCTGAAGCCATTAGGTCTCTCTATCTGCTATAGGCCACACCGACTGCATTGCTCCTGGATTCACTTATCCACTCTCACACACACTCAGCATCACCAGCGCAATTATATCTATTGGAAATCTCTCTCTTTCTTGGTCTCTGTCTTGTCTGTCTGTCTCTTTCTCCCTCTTTCTCTTTCTCTCTCTCTCTCTCTCTCTCTCACACACATACACACACAGAATCACATGGACACAGGTCATGAGAACTTGGGCAGTAGAGACATGTTTCCCCTTGGATCTCTAGCCCTCAGGCCACAGAACCTTTTGCTTGCTCACCGCAATCTTCTCAAGTCAACAGGGGGAGAAGCACACACTGACAACACAAGGCTTCCTTTGAGATTCTCTGAAGTGGGCCAAAGTGGTGCTGCTGGATGAGACTGCCTGTCACCATGGTAACCCTCTCACACCTCTCCTGCTGGGTTTTCCAGGGACACCAGCCCAGAGGCCTTGAAGCTACAGCATGTGTGGATGGCAGCCTCCCGGGAGCCCAGGCACATACACCACTGGGCATTTCTTCAGCGCTAAGGACATCATCACTGCCAGGCCCCATGGGGACACCCACCAGTTCCACTCCTATAGCCTGCAGCCCAAGAACCATTGCTCTGTACCCCTCACCCCTCCATCTTAAGCAGCTCTAGGCCTGGGACCTTGGGGCGGGGACTGGGTCATGATTGGTGGCATCTTGGGAAAGCAGGTGGCCCTCACCAAAGCTCACTGCCTGCCAGCATATTCCAAGCAGACCCCAGGGGCAGAGAGAGGGCTGCCACATTCTGCTCAGAAGCCTCAGTTGTGGGGTCCCTTTCCCAGGGTTTTATGTGCTCAGTCTGGCTTTCTGGAGGTTTTAATTGCACCTGGACTGGGTTCCAAACCAGAGCATGGGCCAGGGGGCCTGTTTGTTACTAGCAGCCTACACAAAAGGGGCGGCAGGTGAGAAGATGGCTGTATGGGGTTTGGGGGTCACTAGTCCCCTCTTGTAGGTCTGTGCCCTCCTGCAAGTCTGATCTCAGATGAGTACTAGGTCTCCCTCTGCTGGACACAAGTTTTCCAAGGCTTTTGGAGGGTCGGGAGGCATCAGGCTGGTTTCTGGCTCCAAGACAGGAGTCTTGGTGGTGGCCTGGGAAGAGACCACTGGAACACTGAGGTCAAGGGTCTGAAGAGGAACAGGGAAGGACAGGGCATGTCCACCTTGCCTTGCACCCCTCGATCCTTCCACCTCATAGAGGACCATGGTAGGTGAAGGATGTTGTGGGGGAAGGCAGGGAATGCTGCTTAGCAGGCTGCTAAACATGTCTCCTGAGGCTAGGGGCACAGTCTTCCTTCTTTCCAGCTAATACCAGATCTAGGCATTTTCTAAGGGAAAGAGAGGGGAGGGGTGGGTGTTGTCAATGGTGGTACCTTCAGCCAGAGACAGAAGATTTTTAAAGGCAAAATTATATTTCTGGTTTGTTGTTTCAGAAGAACAATAAAGACTGTATTTTCCTACGTACCTCCTGGTTTCCTTGGGTGGGGAGGGCATGTAGGTGCTGGGAGAGTGGCTTCCTGTGCCCTGACCTCCCCAGGCAGCTGCAAAAATTGCTTCAGGATGTCACCCCAGTGTCCAGACCTCCATAAGACAGACAGGAAACTCCTGCCTGAGGGAATGCCTTGGGGCACTGCCAGGAGAGATGTGGAGGGCTGAGTCCTGGGTTAGAACGGGTTCTGTAGCCGAGTGTGACAAGTCACCCATGTGCTGGCCTCACAGTATGGGTACGTGAGCCTCAGGTTGGGTCTCCATGTAGCACTGGGCAGTGAAGGTCAGCTGGAGACCTGTCACTGCTCCGAGCCCTTTGTGTGCTCATCCACTGTGACAGTCAAGGACAGATGAGTGGATGTGGTAGGAAGGCATGCATTTGCCCAGAGGACACCACTGTGTGATGGGAGGCAGGGGCAGGGCTCTCCAAGAGCTATTGGTTAGGTTTTATCAGCTTTGGTGAGATTGGGGGTGTTGCTAACGTGAAAGAGGAATCCCTTTTAAACTATTATCCTCTTGCACCTTCAAGACTGACTTTAGGGACAGGCAGATGACACTCTGAGCTTACAAATATGATCTTCCACAGGACTGAGCAGGTTCAGTGGTGGGACGGGACCAGAATTATAAACTGGAGGCTGGGGCTGGGAGACTGGGAGGGGAGATGAGCCAGAGGGCCAGATCTCTGGGGTTGTTCATCCATCCCAAGCTGGAGTGACTCATCTCCCGGCCTGGACCGGCCTCTGGCTAATTGGGCCTGGGCTCTATGGTCATTAGTCATCAGAGACCAAGACAGAATTTTCTCCTTCCTAGGAGCTTTCCTTTGGATGATATCCCAGCGAGCCAGGAGCAAGCCCTAGGGAGAAGTGAGCCATCCAGGCCCCTTCCTGGCATTCAGCTGGACTCCCAGCAGAGCCGGGCTGTTTGCTTTTCAGAGGCAGTGATAATTGTGGGGTGCTGCCTCCTGAAGCCTAACAGGTGTATCAGACCCAACAGACAGTACTCCCCAAGCCCTGCTGCAGAAGCAGAGACCAAGGTCCCTCAGCAACCTGGCACAGGCCTGGGGAATGCATAGGTGTGTCATGCACGTCACTGCTGTGCATGTACACACACAGGTCTGACAGCTAGGCCTATTTGCATGTAGGCAGAGTAAGTGGAGGAGACCTCGTGCGGCTCCAGACAGCAGGCTCGTCGCTAAAGGCCTCTAGGCAGGGGCATGTGTGTACTACAGGACACGTGCTAGAGAAACACACTTGCAATTTATGGTGCCACCATCATTATGCTGGGCAATATTCTCCAAGTAGGTCTGGAGGGCATGGGAAATCGAAACTGGATCCTGATCAAAAAGATTCCTAGAACTTCTGCATAAACAGTTGATAAACCACCTGCTTAAGATCAAAATGATCCCTCTTTATTCATCTGCCCTTCTGTGTGAACCCGTGTCATTATGCATACATCTGGCATGTAGCCGGTCTCCATAGCTTGTCTGAGTATCTGTCTCCTACCTTCTCCCTTTGCTCAGTGTGCAAAATCACACATGCAGCCCGCCCGGCAGCCACCTTGCTCACCTGGTCCTGCAGCTCACATGCACATGGTGCCACTTATTTCCAAGGGATGAAACTGTCAGGATAACAAATAAGCTGCCTACTCTGCTTTCAACTATTGGCCTCCTCTGGCCCCAGTATCAGGGAGGTTGAGCCATTTGCCATGGAAGGGAAATTGCAAAAGGAGACATTCCCCAAAAAGTTGAAGTATAAGGTCTCCAGTGCCTCACTCTTTTCCTATGACATCCATGCATCCCAGAGCGTCAGAGCCATTGTCTGCAGTGAGTTAAACCGGAGGCACCAGGACACAGTTTCTATGGCAACCCCTGGAGGCTCTGATTCAGCTCTGAGTTAAAAATGATACCAAATGATTGGAGAGTGCAGGAGAATGCAGCCGGCAGCCTGACCCCTGTCCCCTCTGGTTTCTAGACTCTCAAGTCTAGCAGGAGCTAGAAGGTCCATATCACAGGGAGTAGGACAGGCACAGATTTCAGCTGGGACCACAGAATAGTCTTTAGGGAGACAAGTTCAGGTCCAGTTTTGGCCTAGAAATGGGTCTGGAGTTAGCACACTGTGGCCTGAGTTTAAAAAGGTGGCTGAGATGGCCCCTTCCAAATGCTGTAGCGGTACATCCTGAAGGCCAGCAGTGGTGCTGGTGTTTCCTCAGGCAGTAAGACAGGCTTGGACAATCTCTGCCAGACCCTAGCCGGCTCCTCCCACCTCTTTTGCCCTGAATCCAGCTTTGAGGGACAAGGCGCACCACCCCTGCCTGCCCCTGCCTGCTCTAGCTGCTGGAGCCCTTTCACATGGCTCCGGGCCCCTGGTGAGGCAGGACAGGACCTGTGGTGGCTGATGCTTGACTGCCCACTGGATTGCACAGCTTTGCAGAACACAGCTGGCTCTGAGACATGGAAACCGAAGCGAGGATTTATATTGAGGGCTGTGGGCTTCACCACACAGGCCTGACGGCACTCAGGCAAGGAGGCACCCATGCAAAGGACTCTTTTAGATGCCAAGAAACTACCAAGTCAGGGCAGTGTGGGAGGGTCATTGGGTACTCTCATCACATTTGTGGCAAATGGCAACATGGGGTAGGAAGCTGGGGCTTAAAGAGAGGCAACCTGAGTTCAAATTCTAGCTTCATTAATTATTAGCTAGATGACTTTGGGCAAATAATTTTTCTATGTCTCAGTTTCTTTATCTGTAAAATGGAGCCAAAAGTATCGGCTTCATTGGATCACCCTGAAGGCTGAAGGAGATGCGCCCAGGAAGCAGTTTCCGAGGTGCCTGGCACATATTGAGCATGCGTCCCGGGCTCTTACTTTAGGGTCTCAGTCACAGGCCCAGCTCTCTCCACAGAAGGATGCTAGACCCAAGGTGATGGAAGCGGGAAGTAGCAGAGAGGGGTGGTGAGGAGGTCTGGGTTGCAGTCTCTGTCCTGTGCAACCTGGAGCAGATCTCTTAACCTGTCTGAACTTCATTTTACTTCCTAAACTCTTTTGGATCTAAGATTTTATGGTTTTATAACCAAAATGGCTTGGGAAGACTCCTTTCTCCCTTAGTCCCACATTTCACTTGGGAAAACTTATGGCCTGAGGGCTGTGTCACTTGCAGACCATAGGTAGGGTCCTCTTGCTATTACTGTGTGCCTTATTCTTGACATTGACTCACAGCTCCTCGACCATGGTGGCGCAAAGGGCAGCTCCTACCTGCAGCGATAGCTGTCTTCTTGTCCACCGTCACGGCCACAGCAGTGCTCGCTGTTACTACCATTGGCTGGCCTGGACTTTCTGGGGAAACAAAAATTGCTAAGTCAAGTTCTCAGTACCTGAGGAAGAGCCTGTCGTTGGGTAGTGATTGGGTAGGCTGAAAAGACAACATAAATACCAGGTGAGGGCATTCCTTGAATAAGTTGGGGCGAAGGGGGCAGTGTTTGGGGAAGTTGTTGCCATGGTGGCTCTGTTACCATCAACCACTGGTCTTTGCAGAGCGCCTCCTGAGTGTCAGGCACTGCCCCTCCTGTGCAGATCTGAACCTGACAGATAAATACACCACAGCCCCTGCCCACTTGGACAATGCAGTATTGTCCACGTCACAAGGACACTGTGAGTTTGCTCTGTCTCAGGGCAGCAACTGTCTGCTGGTTGTTGACTTGCTTGAGCTCAGGGACACTGCTGCGACCCTCTCAGCACATGCTCCACTCAGAAGACTTGCCTTGGGTCAAATGATTCTTTCTAGCAGAAGGACAGGCTGCGTTCCAGGACTCGGCAGTGGCTGATCCTGGGTTGTCCTTCAACAGTCACATGAGTCAGGGTGACACTGACAGCCAGCCCCTCTGGAGGCCGGATGCCAGGGCTGTACCAGGCACAGAAGGCTGGCTAGTGCCTGACACCTCTGAGGCACTCCATAAATCCTGGTCATTAGTGGCCAACCTGCCACCACCACCCCGTTATCAAGCCATGTCTTTCGCTTTGCAGATGGTTGGTGTGCTTCTGGGACACTCTGCTGGGCTCTTGAAGGGCAAGGGGCTTGCCTTGAGCTGCTACCCCCACCTTTCCTAAGAGAATCTGGCCACCACAGGTGCAAAATTCACGTGGCAGTTTCAGCTCTACATTAAAACAGAGCTTTCTGGCTCCAAGACATGGGCTAGTATCTGACCTCGGGCTTTTTAATTTTCATCAGTCCAGGGACATGGCTTCGCTTTTCTTTTTTTTTTTTTAATTTTTTTTTTCAACGTTTATTTATTTTTGGGACAGAGAGAGACAGAGCATGAACGGGGGAGGGGCAGAGAGAGAGGGAGACACAGAATCGGAAACAGGCTCCAGGCTCTGAGCCATCAGCCCAGAGCCTGATGCGGGGCTCGAACTCACGGACAGCGAGATCGTGACCTGGCTGAAGTCGGACGCTTAACCGACTGCGCCACCCAGGCGCCCCAATGGCTTCGCTTTTCAAAGCATTCTTGTCCACAGGCCAATTTCCATTACGAAAAATTCCAAGAAAGGGGAAAAATTTTATCAAGTGCTATCTTGTTAGAATGTCTTTATATATCAAATGTTGCTCGAAACAAATAGGTCATGAGAAGCTCGTGTGGAAATCGTCTGCTATAGCAGAACTTAAATTAACCACTGTTTTCTCATATCTCTTTTGCTAAGCTCATCTATCGCACCTCGCTATAATCAAATATCCCACAGAAACCCAAAATTACTCTGATACTAGCAACTTACAATATGTAGCGTTGTCCTTGATCCAAGGAATTTGCCATGATAAAACCACAATAAACACAGAAGTCAGCTTCCTCACCTTGCCTCTAGAAATGTCTAGAAGCAAGAGTGATGAGCCTGAGGCACCTGGGCATTGGTGAGACTGCTCTGTGCTGGCAGATTTCTCAGGGACTGGTTGCAAAGGATGGCTCTGTGTGGGCAGAACTCAGCCCACCAGGCCTCAGGCAAAGGGCAACAGAGTCAGCCTGCAGAGGCAGAGCGAAGACTCCACTCACCCTGGAGGTGACTCCTCCACCTCCTCGGGGTACCCACTCCCCATTACAATGAAGCTGTTGTTGTCTTTTCCCTTGGGGGAGAATGGAGTGTGCAGAGGTGTCCACGTGTCTCTAAGCATAGGCAGGAGCTAAAGCAGCAAGCGAGGGTGTGAAAAGAGAGCAAGCTCCTGCCTCCCTACTCAACCGTCCCCCCTTCTGGGTTGCCAGCTTCCCTCTCTTCTCCTTGCGGCTTGGTTCCCCACCCACCGCCCTCCTACCTCACCGCCACAAAAAGCAACCCCAGCAGCCTTCAGGCATGGGCCCAGTGACAATGCGGGTAGGAGGGAGCCATCATCATGGACTGGGGGTGGGGGGCCAGAGCTTCACTCTAGAGAACCTCCCCAGGACCTTGCGGGAGCCCCTCCTTGGGGAGCCCTTGATCCTGCTATAGAAGGCGACAGGAAGAAAGAGCTGCCTCTTTCTGGCTCTGGGGGGGCAATGTGGGGAGGGGACCATCACCTTGGCTTTGTGAGCCTCCCCTGTAAGCTTTCACTGGGACTCCCTTCCTCTAACCCCTCCTGGCTTATACTTAAGGTGGGTAGAACTTGGGTTTAGCCTGGCTTGTGTGGCTCTCTAGCTGCATGATCCTGGGCAAGTCACAGAACCCTCTGAGCCTGAAATTTTTCCTGTGCAAGAAGAGAATAACAACATTTACAGAGTTGTGCAGATTAAATGAGTTATATGCTCTAGAACATTTTGTAAAGCCTATTAGTGTTGCATTCAGTGAGGGGAACAGGCATGGGATGGAGAGGTGAGCTTAGGCACAAGGTGAAGAAGGAGTCAAAAGGACATAGAGGGGGACCTCCTGCGTCTCCCCAGCTGTCAGCTCAGGGAATTTCTCCATCAGGAAGCTGAGGATGGTTTTGGTGGAAGTGGTGGCTGGAGGGTTTAGGTGAAAGGACATTTCCATTCCAGGTGGACTCAGCTGAGTTCTCTACCTCTCCCTCTTCCCCTCCTCCCCTCCTTCTCTTCCTTCTCTCCTTTCCCCTGCCCCTCTTTCTCATCCTCCTCTCTCTTCCCCTTCTTCTCCTCCTCCTCTCCTTCACCCTCCTTCCCTTTTCCCCTCCTCCCCCTTCTCTTTCTCCTCCTCCCTCTCTCCCTCCCTCTCCTCCCCCTCCTCCCTCTCTTTCTCTATCTCTTTGCACTCTGACCTGGACATGGATATTTCTAGGCCCTCTTGCTCCACTGTGCTAGGGTCAGTTTCCCCCAAGGTGACCTGGTGGAGAGCTTGCTCTGCTGCAGACTCTTGGACCCCTGGATGAGTCCCTTAACCTCTCTGGGCCATAGAATCTTTTGAGGGTACATTAAGAAAGTGAAGCCTTGCATCCTCCAAAGTCCCTTTCTGTTCTAAACATTTTGCAATTTTCTTGGTGCTCTGTTAAAGTCACTTAACTTTTCTTGGGCTATTTTTCAGAGTGGGGTCTGGGGGTTGAGAGTTGGGTGCCTGCAGCTCTGAAACCTTTCCTGGGCCTTGGACGAGTAGGGATTTGGTAGCTTGGTCCATGGGACCAATCTTAGTTGCCACGCTTCCTACCCTTTGAGCCCCCAGTGGCCTACCAGCCAGGAGGCACCCAATTATTACTGGGAGTTCCTGAGGAGCAGACGGGGAGCCCAATGTTGCCCTTCCTGGGAGACCCCAACGGAGTGGAGACCAGGCTGCTTTCTCTGGGCAGAAGTGCGATGGGGCAGTGAACTTGGTAAGTACAGAAGTCCTCTGATGGAATAAGGTCTGTTACTTTCATCTGGGTGGTTTAAGACATTTTCAAAAATAGATGTTTAGAAATAGAAGAATGTTAAAGACAAACTTTTCTAATATCCACCTGTTTGGACTTTGGGCTAGAATCCAGCTCTTCTTGACTTTTGGGTCAAATTTCTTCCTTTGTGCCATGCTGGATTTTTAGGGACCAACCTTGGCTGCTGGAGAGGAGATAAAATGATCTGTCCTATATTCAGAGTAGAGGCCAATTGTGTGATAAGGCATAAGTAAGCTTTCCCAAGTTGCTGACAGGTGTCAGGAGGGAAGGTTGGACCCCGAGGTGTGGACATTCTTTTCCATGTCTGCTCCTGTTTCCCACCAAAAGCCTCAGGAAGAGACATGCCCTGGTCCCAGCTCAGCCCCAGGAGCACAGGGGTGCCAATCACCTGGTGCCTCTGCTGATCGAAGATTGAAGACAAAGCTGCCAGCAGGATGCTCAGCAGCCTGTCGATACCACAGAGGGAAGTGGTCCATGGTGAATATGCTGGCTTCATCCTCAGGAGTCAGGAACTTTCTGCAAGGAGAAAGATTTGGTACCTCCCCCTAAATCTGGGAATATGTTCATCCCTCTTTCTTTTTACACAAGGTCATCTTGGCTGGGCCAAGAAGAGAGATTCATCTCTGCCTTGGTAGAGTTGCAGGTAGAAAACATTAGCCCCTAAACTAGTTTTACCCCACACAATGTTCCCCAGCAATTCCTGCCTTTTCCAGAATCAAATGCTGTTGTACCTGATGACATATTAGTAGGTAGAGGAGTTATAGAGCCTGTATTGTGAAAGAACACCTTTTTTTTTTTTTTTTTTTTTTTTTTTTTTAATGAAAACTCCTTTGCCTGCAGGGTTTATTTCTTTGGGATATAGCCTAATTTCCTTTTGTCTGGTTAATCAGCATGTCTGAATGGGGAAACCATATAGTCAATTCTATCACTGCACTAATAGAAGGGCATAGATTCCCCCCAAATGGTTACTTCAAAAGTCATTGCCTCCAGGGTTTAGAATGCATTATGAGTTATCTTTTTTTTTTTTTTTTGAACAGCTTTACCTTGCTAATTATGGTTTTGCATTCCCTGAACACACAGCAGCCAGCAGAAGGGAGTGTTGGTCCAGAAGCAGAGTGGGAGGCAGGGAGAAAAGCTGGTTTGTGGATTAAAAAAGACACTGTGGATAAACCACAAGGTGGATAATTGAAGTTTGATTTTAAGAGTGCTTGGCTTACATATTCAAAAGAAGCTCTCCTGCACAATTCCTGAGCGGCCAGGTGTATCATGGTCTAGGTGAAGGGAGACCTCTGGAGTTGCATGGTGCCCACCATTTGTGGTGGCTGTGTTTGTAAGCCAGGAGGGTCTCTCTGTATTGAGATTTTCCTCTTCCATTCATAGAAGCCTTTCAGAGAGGATTTAGGGAAATACGAAGGATGCTTTTATTCCCTTCCTACTTCCAGGTGTGGTTCACCCTGTCCAACTTTGGCCAGCAATGACATGGATGTCATTTTCTGTGTGGGGGTGGAAGTGTAAGTGGATGAGGAAATACAAGTGGGTGGAGAGCAGGAGGGGTAGTAAGTGTGGGGAGGTCACTTCCCCACACTGCTCAAGGCCTTAGAGTGAATCTACGGTTTACCTACCAGATTTGGTCCGAGTCATTTGCTGTGTCTCTGACAGGGCCATGGAAAGGGTTAGCGAGACAGCGCTCTCCTCTGTTCACCTCTCTGGGAGTGAGGGGAAGTGGGTGAGGGAGAAGCAACTTTGTTTTCCTAGAAGGCCTCAGCTTTCAAGCAAGTATGGATCTGTAAGAGTCCCGGAAGAAGCTTAAAGATGGCACTCTGCGGCTGAGTGTGCTTGGATTCAGTGAGAGCAGCCATGTGTGGATGGGAGACTGTGAGGTGCCTCCTCACTGTTCTCCTCCAAGTGCCTGGTGGCCTCTGCCTATTTGAGTCTGGTGGTTTGTGGAGTGGCAGGTGGCTCTGTTCTCCCATCCTCCCCTTGCTTCAGTATTTGGTGGGGAGGACACCCTGGCAACCTGGTCTCCCAAAATGTAGGCTTTGCTGAGAGCAGCACTATTGACATTTTAGGCCAAATAATTGTTGTGAGGATGTTTAACAGCATCCCTGGCCTCTGCCCACTAGATGCCAGTAGCAAGCCCCCATCCCCTAGCTGTGACAACCAAAAATGTCTGCAGACATTGCCAAATGTCCCTGGGGTGGGGATGGGGGAAAATACCCCCGGTTTAGGGGATATGTAAGTTGTTAACAAAAAAGGGGACACAGCCAAATAATTTTGCTTGTCACATAGACACTGGTCCCAGTGGGAAAAACAACTTCTGGTTTTCCCTTTATGGAAGTGATTAACCCTTCCAACTTTAGTTTCATCCACTCTCTTCTCTGACTGGGCTGCTGTCCCTTCTTTCTTGGGGATACCTCCAGGATGCATCTAAAACCTGGTGGAAGAGTTACTTTTCTGACCCTCCCAATCTGCAAGCCATAACCTTTCCACCCTCCTTGCATTGCTGGACTCCAAGAGTCAGCCTGACGACATGCCACAGGAACACCTTTCGGGGATCCCGCTCCCTCTCCAGCATGACTCACTTGTCGGAAACCTTCTCGGAGCCTACAAATAAGCTGCTTCTGAGGAGGCCAGCCCGGGTGCCCAGGAATGCCATGTCCACCACCTGCTCGGACTCGCTGTGAAGCAGACAGAACAGGTGTCATTATCATGCAGTGCAGTGACAGGACTAAGAAGAGGGCATTGGGGGCACGGGGAAGACCTGTGGGCCTCTCCTAGTTCCTGGCCTGATCTTCGGGATGGGGAACATGAAATGGACAGACACGTTGCTTGCTCAGGGGGTTGTACACACATGCACTGGCCATCCTCTGTGAGCATCATGTTTGTTACATCTGGTTGACCTGGCTCCCCTGGGCAGCATCTTCCCTTGTTAATGGGGTCCCCTGGGCCTCTGCCTTTCTGCTTTTTTTTTTGCTCCTAATTTGTCCATCCAGGTTTTAGGGGAGTTGGCTCTGGAGGACAGAAGGAATTCAGGAAAAGAGATTTTGTCCTGGGACCTCAGGAACAGGAACTTCTCATGACCGACACATACATGACACCTCACAGCTTTAAAGCCCTTTTCACATGTTTACCTTATTATTGAATTGTGAAAGGAGGAGAAGACACTGTCTACATCTACCTATGGGAACCCAGTGAACTTTATAACCTTGCCAGCAAGATTTGAGAAAGAAAATCCATTAGCTAGCTGGAGTGTAACTAGTTTTTCTTATGGTCTCAAAGCCATACTTCTGCGATGATGGCACCAGGGGTGGGAGTCATCACCTCTTTTTTTTTTAATTTCAGCTTTTTTGAGGTATAACTGATATACAATTGTAAAATTTTTAAGTGTTCATCATGGTTATTTGATATATTGTGAAAGGACTCTTCCCATCTAGTTAATTAACACACCCATCATATTAGGTATTTTTATCTTTTTTGGGGGGGTGAGAATATTTGAGAATATTCTCTTAGCTAATTTCAATTATACAATACCGTGTTAATCAACTACAGTCACCATGTTTTACATTAGATCCTGAGGCCTTATGTGGCTTGTAGTTTAAACTTTGTACTGACCTATCTTCACCCAACCAGCTCACAGCAATCACTTTTCTTCTCTCTGTTTCTATGGGTTTGACTTTATTTTATTCTTTTATAGATTCTCCATATAAGTGATATGATGTAGTATCTATCTTTCTCTGTCTGGCTTGTTTCACTTAGCATAATGCCTTCAGGGTTCATCTAGGTTGTCATAAAGGGCAGGATTTCCTTCTTCTTCATGGCTGAATAATATATTTTTGCATATATATATATATATATATATATATATACCACATCTTCTTTGTCCATTCGTCCAGTGATGACATGTTGTTTCCATATCTTGGCTATTATAAATAATGCTGCAATGAACATGGGGGTGTAGATATGGCTTCAACATAATGGTTTCATTTCCTTTGGATAGATAACCAGAAGTGAGATTGTTGGATAGTTCTATTATTAATTTTTTGAAGAACCTCCAAACTGTTGTTTATAGTGGGTGCACCAATTCACATTCCAATGGTGCACAGGGGTTTCCTTTTCTCCATATCCTTGCCAACACTTGTCTTCTGTCTTTCTGATAACATTCTAACATGTGAGGTGATACCTCACTGTGTTTTTGATTTGTATTTCCCTGATGATTACTGATGTTGAGAACTTTTTCATGCATCAGTTGGCCATCTGTAGGTTTTTCTCTGGAAAAATGTCTATTCAGTTCCTTTTAAAAAAATCAGATTGTTTTATTGTTATTGAGTTGTGTGGGTTTTTAAAAATATATTTTGGTTATTAACCCCTTATCAGATGTAATTTTCAAATATTTTCTCCCATTTCATAGGCTGCCTTTTCATTTTGTTCTTTTCCTTGCTTGGCTAGGACTTCCACTACTATGTTGAGTAACAGTGGTAAGAGCTCCTTGTTCCTGATCTTAGAGCAAGAGCTTTCAGCTTTTCATCGTTTTTACTACTGAATATGCTATTAGCTGTGGGCGTGTTATATATGGTTTTTATTTAATTACTTCTAACTTTATTAATATTCATATGCCTAGCCCAATTTGCTGCAGGAGACTACCTAATTTCTCTTAGTACCTAGATTAGCGGTTTTAGTGAGTGTATAAAGTAGTCAAGCCTGACGCAGGGCTTGAACTCCTGAATGCTGAGATCTTGATTGAACTAAAATCAAGAGTCAGATGCTTAATTGACTGAGCCACCCAGGCACCCTGGGTTGTTTTTTTTTTTTTAATCAAGGTTCAGCTGTATGGCTATTAGGGTATCCCTAAAGGAATATTGTGAAGAAGGTTGCACCATGCAATATCAACTGATAGTACCTGGAGCTGGGTTGAAACACTTGGTCTACATTCTGGAAAAGCACCAAGGTCTGGAGATGTAGATGGGACTGCCTGCCTACCTCTGATGTTGTAGTAACCAGAATTTCCAGGGGTGGGGCCCAAGGGACTCTTTCTCTGAAAATCTGCCTGATGCAATTTTTTACTCAAAAGTAGTACAGAATAGTCTAATGAGACTCCTGCACCCATAAATTAGCTTCAACAATTACCAGTCTATGCCAATATTGTTTCATCTACAGCCTCCTGCAGCCCTCAGATTATTTTGAGGCAAATCTCAGATATCATTTCATTAATAAATATTTTAATTTCTATCATTAAAATATAAGGAATGGAAAAAATCATTAATGACATTATCACATCTAAAAAAATCCACAATTCCTTAATAGCATCAAATAATCCAATAATCCACAATCCTCATGACTTTTTTAAAGCTTATTTGTATAAGAATCAGACTAGGGTCCACAATTCATATGTCTCTTTTTTTTTTTTCTCATCTCTCCCTCTCTCATTTCTCAATCTCAATTTAGATATTTATTGAACTGTAATCCACTTGCCATACAGTTCATCCATTTAAAGTGTGCAATTAAACGGTTTTTAGTGTATTCACAGAGTTGTATGGCCATCACCAGTCTATTTTAGAACATTTTCATCATCCCCAAAAGGAACCGCATACTTGTTATCAGTCATGTTTAGTCACTTTCAACCTTCCTTTCTCTTCTTTCCCTCTCTTCTTCTCTTTGCAATTTATTTGCTGAAGTAGGTTGTTGGTTCTGTAGAGTTTCTGCATTCTGGGTTTACTGATCATGATGCTGTGGTGTTATTTAGCATGCTCTCTTGTCCCATGTATTTCTTATAAACTAGCAGTTAGAGCTATGGGTTTGACATAGGTTTGAGTTATAGGTGGTGTGTTCTTTGTCAAGAGGCGCACACTCTCTCATTGACCAGAGGTTGCAAGACAGGATTCTTCCTTATTTTATTTGTACCTGAAATACTTGATTAAAGATAGACTTCTCATCAATATTTGGTTACCCTGAGATGCAGCTTCTACAGGAGAGCCAGGATAAATAATTGTCTCTCTGTTTACTTGCCAGTTTAGAATAATGAGTTGGTTTCCTAACATCTTCTGAAGATGATCAAAAGTCTTTTTTTCTCCCCAGTATCATTGTGAACACAGGATTTTAGCATACCTAATATGTTTTAATCCACTGCAGTTGTCATTGCTTTTGCTGCTCTAATTTTTCCACCTTTAACCAGTGAGAGTCGCTTCCAGTTGGCTCTGGGGTCTCACTGGCACAATCTCATTATAGTCTTCAGTAACTTCTTGCTTCTGGTTATGACAAGATACTCCTGGCTCATTTTGTACATTTGTCACTGTCCTGAAATCAGACATTTCTCCAAGGATCGCTGACTCATTTTAATAAGAATTTCTTAATATGCACATTGAAAGTCCACAATCTGGGTCTGGGGTGCTCACTGAGGTTGGTCTTTTCAGTGTACAGGGCTAGGATATCCTTTTTGTTTCTTTCAGAGAAAATAATCGTGAGTTCATTGGTATTTCCAATTCGTATTCAGCAGTACATCTTAACTTCTTTGATTTAAAAAATTTGCATCTCTTTTTTTGTTTGCTGAAAACCTTGGTTCCTAATGACATTAACACAATACTATTTGCCCTACCCATCTATATAGTTTGAGAATAACAGTGCCAATGTTGTTTCTAGCAATGTGGTTATTGAGCACGGTTTATGATTTTATTTATTGTTTATGGTGTGTGTTTTTAAGTCTGTTGAGGGAATTCATCTATGTACAGTTATTTCATGAACTTGATACACAGGTTTATTTGTTTCTTTTGTTTTCAATTTTTTAGAGCTTATTTTTTATTTTTTATTTTATTTTATTTTTTAAATGTTTTTATTTTTGAGACAGAGAGAGACAGAGCATGAGTGGGTTAGTGGCAGAGAGAGAGGGAGACACAGAATTGGAAGCAGGCTACAGGTTCTGAGGTGTCAGCACAGAGCCTGACGCGGGGCTCGAACTCATGGACTGTGAGATCATGACCTGAGCTGAAGTTGGACGCTCAACTGACTGAGCCATCCAGGCGCCCCTAGAGCTTATTTTTTTAAAATTTAATTTTGTTTTATAATGATATAAAGCATTTACATCGTTCCAAAGTCAAATATGCAAAATGAAGCATATTTATAAGCCTGTCTTTCACTCTCCCTAAAGTAACTTTTGTTTGCTTGTTTATTGTTCCATTAAACATATATGTGTGCATATGTACATACATACATGTGTCTATGTTTATATATGTGTAACTATGAAAATATATTTGAATTTCCTCTTTTTAAATAAATAGTGGAGGTGTTATACACACTTTTCTCCATTGATGAGACCATTCCATAACAGTTTATAGATTTCTCATTTTTTACAGTCACATAGTATTTCATTATGTGGATCTACCATGGTTTATTTAACTAGGCTCCTGCTGATGGATGTAGGTTATTTCCTATCTTTCACTAAATGGAGCTGTAACAAAAAGCTCATGTAACAAAAAACTAAATGGAGCTGTAACAAAAAGCTATTTTTATTAGTGTATCTTTGGAATATGTTCCTAGAAGTGGTCTTGCTGAGTCAAAGTGTAAATGCATTTTTAACTTGTTAGATATTGCCAAATTCTTCTCCATAGCCCTTGAAACATTGTGTATACCCATTGACAATATACAAGAGCCTGATTCCCCACAGCCTTGCTGGTAGTGCATGTCAACAAACTTAGATGGTTATCAATCTGATGAGTGATGAATATAACCTTGGTACCGTTTAATACGAATTCCTTTTATTATGAGCTATATTGACCATTTTCTCATATATTTAAGGGCTATTTGTATATATTCTCAGAACTGTCCATATACCTTGGTAATTTTTCCTATAAAGTGGTTGGTCTTTTACTTCTCTATTTTCGAAGTTCTTCATTTTTTGAGAATAAAAGATTGTAATCTTTTGTTTTTTAAGTTGCAAACATTTTTCTGGTTTGTCATTTATGTTTTCACCTTGCTTATGTTTTTATTGTTGCCAAATAAACATTTTTATGTTGTTAAATTTATCAGTCATTCTCTTGTTTCTGAAGTTTGAGTCATCATTGGGAAAGATTTCCTAATTCTTAGATTTTAGAGCAACTGGCTCATTTTTTTTTTTTTTTAGTACTTATATGGTTTCATTTTTTACATTTAAATCTCTGAGTCATTTGGACTTTGTCCAGGTGTATGGTGTGAGGAAATAATACAATTTTATCATTCTCCAGATGGCTCTCAAATCAGTTATTAAAGAGTCCATTTTTTTCCTCTCACTGGTTTGACATGATGTCTTTGTCATATACTAAATTTCCACATGCATTTAGATGAATTTCTGGATTTTCTATTTTTTCCTCTTCGTCTGCCTTTCTATTCATGTGTCAGTACTACACTTCATAAATTACATGTTTTAATACCCTGGGAACACAAAACTTCCTTTGTTGCTTTTCTTTTTCAGGAATTTCTTGACTATTCTTTCAAATAAACTTTATAATCAGTTTATCTGGATCCATAAAAATACTGATTATGTTTTTATTGGAGTTGCATTCAACTTACACATTAATCTAAGGAGGATCAATGTCTTTGTGATGTTGATTCTTCCTATCCAAAAACACTGAATACCTCCCCATTTGTTCAAGACTATGTTTGTGTCTTCCAGGAGTGTTTTAATATTTTCCTTATGTAAGTTTTGGGATATTTCTTATAGTTTATACCTAGGTGTTTGATTACATTTTATTTTTTGCCCTCTTAAATAGGAATTCTCTAGTGATACTTTAAGTTTAATTTTGTTTTTATAGGTAAAGGATATTAATTTTTGGATGTCCATATTATAAACTATTACCTTACTAAATTCTGTTATTGTTTTACTAGCTTTCCTATAAATTCTTCTGGGGTTTCCAGAAATATAATCATATCACCTTCTTAGAGATAATTTACTTCTCCCTTTCCCTTCTCATTGCTTCTAGGTGCATTCTCTTGTTTGGTTGCACTAATACCTTCCGACCTTGTTAAATAGTAATAAGAATATGGGAATGCCTATCTTAGTCTTGTCTTTAGTTAAGAGAGCCTCTAGCCCCGTTCAGATGTTGACTTTCATGCTTAGGTCAATTTTAACTTTATTGATTAGTTTTTAAAAACATGCATGGATATTAACATTTGTTCAAATATCTTTCTGCATCTATGAGAGTGATTATATGACTTATCACCCTAGCTTTATTAATATGCTATTTTATATTAATTCTCCAGGTCTTCTTTTCTAATATACACCTTGGTTAAGAATATTTATTCTTCAGTGTTTCTCAACATTAAAAACGTCTCTGGCTATGGGGCACCTGAGTGGCTCAGTCGGTTGAGCATCCGACTTCAGCTTGGGTCATGATCTCACAGTCCGTGAGTTCAAGCCCCGTGTCGGGTCTGTGCTGACAGCTCAGAGCCTGGAGCCTGCTTCCAATTCTGTGTCTCCCTCTCTCTCTGCCCCTCCCCTGCTCATGCTCTGTCTCTCTCTCTGTCAAAAATAAATAAACATTAAAGAAAAATTTTTAAAAAAATGTCTCTGGTTAATCTCTGAACTTGGAAAGATGAAGATCATGCCCCTTCTCTCCAAACCAGTGATCCAATCCCCTGACTGCCTGGTTTGACTCCAACTTCACCACTTGTGAGGCATATGACCTTGGGCAAGTTGTTTATCACACCTTACCTTGGTTTCCTCATCTGTAAAATGGGGATAATGATAGTACCTACATTGGAAGGTGGTTATGAGGTTAATATACACTAAGTACTTAGTGCCTGGCCTGCTATATTCTTTTTATTTTTTCTAGCTTCATTTAATTTTGTATATGTAATACATTTACATGGTTCAAAATTATACCAAACAGTTATAAGTTATACAGTGAACTATTTCCTATTTGCACTTTCATAGACTTTATACACATACATGCACACGCGCACACACACGTACAGATATACTGTTTTCCCTCCTTTTATAGAAATGGTTTCAAACTGTACACAGTAGTCTGCATCTTGCTTTTTAAAATAGGTGGTTGTTTCATACAAAATTCTATTCTTTTCTTTAGGAGAGCATTAATTAACTTGAGTGTCTTAGGGGAGTTTGACATCTTCATGATGTTAACGTTGAATCTTCCTATTCAGGAACAAGGTGTAGTCCACTGTATTCTTAACCTCATTAATATCTTGTACCCTCCCAACACACATGCGTGCGCAAGCACACACACACACACACACACACACACGTGCTCACACACACACCATTCATTTCTTCTTTCTACCTATTCACTAAACCTGATAGCACAAGATAAATATCAGCAAAAGGAGTGAGGAAATCTAAGGCAGTGGTAAAGGCCAAGTTTGTACTTCATAGTGTCTTGACCTTATGTGCTGGAAATTGGGTCCTGCTTGAACCACTCTTTCCAGGGTACTTGGCAAACAGGCTTACACAGCTACAGACCAACCCCGAGAGAGAGGTGTTCTTGGAACGGGGCTGCTGCAGTGTGGGTGGGGGATCTGGAGCTATGCCAGGGGGACCCACATTTGATGCTTTTCCAGAGGGGAGAGCAGCAGCACATGTGGGATGTGGAAGCTGTGCCAAGTCCCTGCTTTACTGGGGCCCATGTGAAGGAAGCTCTCACTCCTCCCATGTCTGCCCACTGTCATCACCTTCATCTTGGACCCAGTTGTCTCCTGAGCTGCCAGCCAGGAAGTGGGAGGGACCCTGACTCAGTCAAGGGAATCCTAGGGGCTGGAGCTGCTTCGCTCCACAGAACCCTCAGCCCCACCCTGGACTGACATACTCAGAGGTGTTGAGAGCCATCGCTGTCCAGTAGGCTTCCATGGGGGCCGTCACCACCGCATCAAGCAGTACCTCCCGCACCAGCTCCTCATCGCCTGGGGACAAAATAAAAGGAGACCAAACCACTTATTTCCTCTATGATGTTGAATACAGCTCATCCACCTTTGTAAGGAATCCCGACTTCAGGGAATGGGATGTGTCTCATAAACATGTATCTGGGACACATAAAACCATCTATGTGAGCTTGAAGAAATCATGTCATCTCCCTCAGCCTTCACATCCTCAATCCCAAACAACATGTGAGCAGAACTGATTTCTAAGGCTCTTCCCAGTTCTGGTATTCCGTGAGATTAGAATCTCTCAGGGACATCAGACCTTGCCCTGAGCCCAGGCTACCTCTCCTTTCTGCTGCCATCCATCAGTCTGCAACTTGATCATCACCCTCCCAACACACTGGCCTTTTGCCAGTTCTGTGCACGTGAATTTGCTTCAGAGCCTTTGTGCATGCTATTCCCTGGTCTGGATGCTTTCCCCCAACTCTTTGCATGTGTGGCTCTTTTCCCTCTCTCTTTAAAAAAATTATCTACTTTTATTTAGGTGAAATCTATGTAACATAAAATCAACCAATTTAAAGTATACAACTCAGTGGCATTTAGTACATTCACAATGATGTGCAGTCATCACCTCTGTCATCGCCCCCAAAACAGACCCTGTACCTGTGAAGGCACTCGGGTCACTCTTTTTTTATCCTCAGCATAAGTAACACTACCTGACAGAGTTGGGCGCTCTATAGGATCCCATACAGTATCCTACTCATGGCACTTACCACAATTTGGAATAACCTACACCTACACACACATGCTTGCTTCTTTGTTGTGTGGTTTCTCCACTAGATTACAAGCTCCATGAGAATAAGGGACTCATCTGGGTCATCTCTGTAGCTTCAGTGCCTACCCCAGGCATGGCACAAAGTACATGCTCAGTACTGATTACTGATGGAGTGAGTGAATGGACAAATGAATGCCCTTTTGGGCCAGCATGGAAGCAAGGTCCTGTCTTAGGGGTGACATTTGTGTGTCCCTCTTCCAAAGAGGAAGAAGAGGGACCCTGCTGAGGGTGTGGCCCTGTGGTTTCACCAGTTGCATTTGTGTTGGGGAATTTAAGTTTAGCCTAAGAGCCAGGCAGTGGAAAACTCTCACAGACCACAGGCTACAAGATGCCATCTGGCCAAATGCTCTCCTTTGCTGAGATGAGGACTTTAGAGTACAGAGCATCAGTATCAGCTAGATGGTAGTAGGGACAGATCTAGGGGCAGGCTGCTGATGCCCTTACACTGTGTGAGTGTCTCTTTGAAGGCTTAACAGTGCCCGGTGAAAGAGGCTTAAAGCAATCTCAGTCCCTGACATGGGGACACACTCATGCTGCCACAGTGCCAGGAACTTAGACAACTTCGTGGTCCCATAGGGAGGCTAGTTCTGCCTTTTTCTTTGAAAATCTCCCTGTTCTCCCTAAGCCATGGGTGGGTTCCAGGGATAAGGCTACTTGGCAGTAAGTAAAGTCCTCAGTGGCTTAGCCATAAAAAAGAGTGAAATCTTGCCATTTGCAACAATATGGATGGATCTAGAGAGTATAATGCTGAGTGAAATAAGTCAGAGAAAGACAAATACCACATGACTCCACTCATATATGCAATTTAAGAAGCAAAACAAAGAAAAAATAGGCAGACAAAAACCAGACTCTGAAATACAGAGAACTTGGTTACCAGAGGGGAGGTGGGTGGGGGATGGGTGAAATAGGCAATGGGGATTAAAGAGCACATTTATCATGATGATCACTGAGTAATATATAGAGTTGTTGAATCACTATATTGTACACCTGACACTAATATAATACTTATGTTAATTAGAACTAAAAAAAGTTGACAGTGATAATGAATGTGATAAGATGTCAACAAGTCAACACTTAAAAAAAACCACACGTCAAGACCTTACCCATCAAGGTTAGTGTATTTTTTTTGATTTCACTTAAATTTCTTATATTATTTTTGATAAATGGTATATTAAAACTCACATGTAGTCAAATTTTTTAAAAAAGAAAAAAGTAGACAAAACATAAGAGACTCTTAAAATACAGAGAACAAACTGAGGGTTGCTGGAGAGGTTATGGGTGGGAGGATGGGCTAAATGGGTAAGGGTCATTAAGGAAGACACCTGTTGGGATGAGCACTGGGTGTTATACATAAGGGACAAATCACTAGATTCTACTCCTGAAACCATTATTGCACTATATGTTAACTAACTTGGATGTAAATTAAAAAAAATAAATAAAATAAATAAATAAGTAAAGAAAGAAAGAAAAAAAGAAAAAAGAAAGTCCTCGGTGGGCAGGGTCAGCACTCACACTCCAGATCTGGGTCCTCCCCTGTCAGGAAGCGGACTATGGCCTCCAGCTGGCTGAGCTTCCGATGGTCTGGGTCGATATCTGTGATGCAGTAGATCCTGGAGCCCAGGAGAATCAATGTTACCTCAAGAAGATTCCACCTTTCTCCTTCCCATTCTCTACTCTTCGTGAACAGCGAATTTCCCACTTACCAGTCACTGGCTAGGGTCAGATCTGGGTGAAGCAAGTCATGCAGGCCTGAAACCAGAGTTCACACTCAGTACGGTGCTCACCCACTGTTGTGAGGATGTGCACCTGAATTGTTTACAAACAACTGCCAGGAAGCTTCTCTAGGGAAGGACTGGGTTTTATTCTTCCTTGTTCTCAGCTCGGAGTAGGGACTCAACCCATAGGATGGTGCTGGGTTTGTACAAATCATGCCTTTGTCCATGTTGCTCCTGCTTCCTGAAATGCTTTTCTTCCCATTGTCTTGTGTCCAAATCCCACCTATTTGGATCTCTCAAAGAGCTGATACTTTGAAACCAGTGGTTTTTGCTTCATCGTCTGCATTGTACCCAACTGAGTTAAATGGCCAGTCAAAAGTAGAACTCAGAGATGGGCCAAGTCTGTTTTGTGTAATCTCTGTAGCCTCTTGCTGTACCTACACTAACCGTGTGCTTAGTGTAGGTTTGTTGATTGAATGAGTAAATGAACAATTGCCCTACTGAGCACCTACTCAGTCCTCAAAAATAGGTGCTCAATTGAGGTTTGTTAAATTGAAGGAAAGGATGATAGGAATACCAAGGGGAAATTTGTGGAGTTATTAAAAGGGGTACTGGACTGACATAGACATAAGGCAAATAGCTACAGGGTGATGTTCCTTTCCCCACAGTAAGCCTGGTTGAGTCCATAATTCCAAGTCCTGGGATCACTGGTTGGTCTCACCCATGGAAGTTGGTCTCTGTCCCCTGCAGGAATGTGCCCTGAGAATATCTAAGTACAGAAAGAAAAGTATAGGAAGAGAGAATGCACCATGGAGGCCCAGGGAGTTTGATCGTTTTGGGGACAGTGGAAGACAGGGAAGGAGTGTGGTCTAATACCATGGATGTATGCTGTGAAAGGGTGAATGCAGAGGTCACATGGGAGCATGTGGCTTGGCACAGGGGGTCTGCCAAGGACAGCTGCTGGAAAAGTGACATCTACACTGGGACATGAAGAGTGGGTCCAAGTTAGGTGGGCTAAGAGGGTGGGCACTGGAGAAGAGAGCATTTCAGGGGAGAGCAAAGCACATGGGAAGATCTTAAAGCTTAGTGCATGGAGAAATGACCAAAAATAGAAAAAAACCCTAGAAGGCCATTAAAGGTCATTTAGCAGTGACACAATCTGATCTAGCATTTCTAGATGGATCTCTCTGGCAGAGATTTACAGGAAGAGAGAGGCAGGGAGACCAGTTGGAGGCTGCTGTGGTTATCCAGGAGAGAGGTGACAATGACTAGGGCGGTGGCAGGGATATGGAGACATGAGATGCACTCAAGAGATGATAAAGGAAGAATGGACAGAATGTGGGTGTTAAATGGAACTGTGACCAAACCATCCCAGGACTTCCTGAGATATCCCTGAATCCCGGATATTAGTTTTGTTCTCTCAACGTGCTCAGGCAGCTGTAAGTAAAGAACAGGTTGGGTTAGGGAGGGTGGGGACCTTGTCCCCTATCCTTCCCCACCATTCCTTGCTGCCCCTCTCAGTTCACTTCCCATAAGTTCCCTACTATGGGTTCAGCTGTGTCCCCCCCAAAAGATATGTTGAAGTATGAACCCCACTACTTGTGAATGTGACCTTATTTGGAAATAATGTCATGGCACGTATCAAGTTAAGATGAAGTCATTAGGGTGGGCCCTAATCCAATATGACTGGTGTCCTTGTACAAGGTTAAATAGAGAGACACAGATGAGAAGCTACATGTGATGGGGAGGACAGAGACTGAAGAACTGTAGCTTCAAGTCAAGAAATGCCTGGGGCAATCAGGAGGTAGAGGCCAGGAAGGATCCTGCTCTGGAGGTGTTAGAGGGAGCATGGCCTCCAGAACTGCAAGAGAAAGCATTTCTGTTGCTTATGCCACCCAGTTGGTGGTACTTTGTTTTGTTAGCCTTATCCAACGGCTACAGATTTGCTCCTTTACTCTTTCCGGCCTCCTTTGTCATGACTTAGGTGAAATTCAGCTTTGTTCAAAGAAGAAACATATCCCGTTGACCTACCTCTTCTGGTCCACCAAAGCTTTCCACAATGGCAAGTCTTAGGCTTTGCCGGCTTTGACAACCGACTGGCAGATCCTGCAGCCCTGGCACACAGGACACACAGACCCCTTCTCACCAGGCAGCCTTGCTCTGAGAGTTTGCTCAAGTCCAGGACCTGGGAGACTCTGGCTCTGCCCCAGGCTGGCCCTGCTCAGTGTCCCAGGAGAATCCATTTTCCTCCCACACTGGCCACCAGTACTGGGCACAGACCCACCTTCTTCCACAGTTGTGTTCCCCAGGAGGATGTACTCTCCATGGCCCCTGGACAGCACCACTCCCAGGCTATGGGGAGAACAGAGAACACAAGTGCTCAGCAGCAACAAGGGCCAAGCAATGTCCAGCCTACTTCCTTGGCCTTCAGCAACTTGGACTCTATGAATGTTGCCCCTGGCCTCACAAGTTGTCTCCTCTAGAACTAAAGCAGCAGTTCTATGCTTCCATCAACCTCTCTTCCTGAGAAGGACTCTCAGTTCTGTAGGTCAAGACCCCCATCACCTACCATTTAATTTTATTTATTGAAAAAAAATTTTTTTAATGTTTACTTATTTTTGAGAGAGACAGAGACAGAATGTGAGTGGGTTAGGGACAGAGAGAGAGAGGGAGGCACAGACCCAAAGCAGGCTCCAGGCTCTGAGCTGTCAGCACAGAGCCCGACGCGGGGCTTGAACCCATGAGCTGTGAGATCATGACCTGAGCCAAAGTTGGACAATCAACTAACTGAGCCAACCAGATGCCCCATCACCTACCATTTTAGACAAGATTCATCCAAAACCTCTCAGGGACCTCCTGAAATGTGGAGAGGTTTCTATGTCTCACAGGCTTTCACAAATAGGAGACTGCTTTCCTGCCTGGTGAACACCACCATGCCCTCCTCTCTCTCCTAGTAGAACACTGCTGTTAATGTTTGCTGAATATCTGAATTACGGGTATATCCTAGAAATTCTGAGTTCATTTGTTTGGATGGAGCCAGGGCATTGACAGTTTTGCAAAATTCCTCAGGTATTCTAATGAGCAGTCAGGTTGGGCACCACACTTTATTGAGAAATGAGGTAATTCAGAGATAAGGGCTATTTGTTTCCTAAGCTGTATAATGCCTCATGTTGACAACAGTTGGAAGGAACCAAAGAGATTTTCAGATTTGATCTTTCATCTTACAATCTTTTACACTGCATCGCTTTAAGATCTTTAAGTAGATTATATCCTACAAACCACAAAGAAGTAGCTACTATTTTTACCTTCATTTTACAAACAAGAGTCAAAGGCAAAGAGAAGTTAATAACTTGACTAAGGTCACACAGCCTGCTAGGGGTGCAATTGGGACCCAAACCCAGGCAATTTGGCTCCAGACCCTGCAAAGTAGGATACACTGGCAAAGCAGGTCTAGACCTCAAGTTTCCTGAAGGCAAGCCTGGGGTTTTTTTCTGTTACCATAAAATTGCGAACTAAATATGAGTAAATTCATTCCCCAGACCTGGAATTTCTGCTTGGAGTTATTGGAATTTATGTTCCAGCCATCCCACATCTCCCTTCCAAATAAAACATGGGTCCCTCACCTGAAAGGTGTGTCACTGATGTCTGTGAAGAAGTAGTCATTGGTCAGGAAAAGAACTCTCTTCTGAAAGAGAGAAAAGAAAAGGAGGTTTGCTGGAGAGAGAAGTGCCTGACCATGCCACTTACCTCCTCACCTAATGCCCTTGGCTTTCATTGTCTCTGTGCCACTTCCTTCACCTCTGACCCCTTTCCCTGACTGCCAGGGGCATGCCAGGGCCATGGTCACCTTGTTGACCACCAGGCCCAGCAGGCTGTAGCCTTGGGGCTGCCTGATTAAAGGACCAATGTCTACACCCTTGCTGTCCCACGAAGTGGCTGTTAGCCATTGTGAGGCTATTGTGTGCTTGAAATGTGCAACTGAGGGACTGAAGTTTTAAGTTTTAGTTGAGTTCATATAAATTTAGATAGCCAACATGGCTAATGGCTACTGTATTGAACAGTGCAGGTGTGGACAGCGATGCTAGGGTTCATACAGGACCAGCTGGTGCTAAAAGCTTCTGGAGCTCATTTGTGTATGACCCACCTACAACCTCCCCCTTTCTGGAATACAGTCGAGGGAGAGGGAGCATGATTCCCTCCACTAACCCCTTCCCAGGGCTACGTCACTCTTTTACAACTTCTTTTTCCTTTCAAAGTTGCCATCTTTTCAGTTTCAGTAGAATTGTGTAAGTTAGGGCATCAGGTAGTTCACACGGTGGTTCAGGGCCTGGGCTGGGCATCAGGCAGACCTGGATTTAGAGCCAGCTCGGCCACTTACAAGCTGTGTGCTCTTGGGTGAGCTGTTTCACTTCAATTCTAAGCTTCAGAATTCTCATTTGTAAATCAGGATTAATAATAGCACCCCATGCATAAGGCTGCCATGAGGTAGTGAGTGTGACTTTAATGGAGAGGGGTGGGTCCAGGGAAGAGCAGGATTTGCTCTGGGGTCTGAAGTCCTGTGGATTGTCCTGTCCATGAGAAGTTTATGCTGTTGGGAAAGCCACATGTTCTTATTCCCTTCACTTCTTTCTGGCTTTTAGAATAAGATGTCCGAAGGGGGTGCAGTGGAATTTGGGTGGCAAAAAAGTTTGTTTCTGGAAGAAACCAGCTTTAGATCAAACCTGAATGAACAGTTTTCCAGCACCAGCCTCATCCCCACAATGTTCCTGCCTCCACTGTCTCAGTCAGAGCCTCCCTCACAGTGGTGCTGGGGCAGTCGGGGGCCAGGAAGGGCTGTGGTGGCCTCAGGAGCCCGGTGTTCCAAGATGGGGCTGGCTTGAGGGTCAGAACTAGAGATTACCTTTAAAATTTTTCCTTTTTTAAACAGTGTGGAGGTTCCTCAAAAAACTAAAAATAGACCTACTTTATGACCCAGCAATAGCTCTGCTAGGAATTTACCCAAGGGATACAGGAGTACTGATGCATAGGGGCACTTGTACCCCAATGTTTATAGCAGCACTCTCAACAATAGCCAAATTATGGAAAGAGACTAAATGTCCATCAACTGATGAATGGATAAAAAAATTGTGGTTTATATACACAATGGAGTACTATGTGGCAATGAGAAAGAATGAAATATGGCCCTTTGTAGCAACATGGATGGAATTGGAGAGTGTGATGCTAAGTGAAATAGGCCATACAGAGAAAGATACCATGTGGTTTCACTCTTATGTGGATCCTGAGAAACTTAACAGAAACCCATGGGGGAGGGGAAGGAAAAAAAAAAAGAGGTTACAGTGGAAGAGAGCCAAAGCATAAGAGACTCTTAAAAACAGAACAAACTGAGGGTTGATGGGGGTTGGGAGGGAAGGGAGGGTGGGTGATGGGTATTGAGGAGGGCACCTTTTGGGATGAGCACTGGGTGTTGTATGGAAACCAATTTGACAATAAACTTCATATATTGAAAAAAAATAAAATTTTTCCTTTTTTGATTTTTTTAAATTTATTTTGAGAGAGACAGAGACAGTGCAAGTTGGGGCGGGGCACAGAGAGAGAGGGCGAGTGAGAATCCTAAGCATGCCTCATGCTGCCAGTGCAGAGCCCAATGCGGGGCTTGACCTTATGAAACCGCAAGATCATGACCTGGGCTGAAACCAAGAGTCGGACGTTTAACTGACTGAGCCACCCAGGGGCCCCTCCTTTTTTGATTTATTAAAGAAAAAGGCAAAATGTACAGATCTTAAGTGTATTCTTCCATTAGTTTTGATAAATATATATATACCCATGTAGTTACCTCCCCAGTCAAGATATGGAATGTTTGCATCTTCTAAAAATCTCTTTGCCTCCTTCCAGCCCATCCCCACCCCACCCCTCCAAGGGTGAACTCTGTTCTGAATTCTATCACTTTACATTAGGTTTGTCTGTCCTTGCAGTGTGTACCTTTTGTGCTTGGCTTCTTTTGCACAACATAACATCTTTAAGACCACCCGTGTTGTGTGTATCAGCAGTGTGTTTCCTTCTGTTGCTAAGTAGCGCTCCAGTGTGTGGGCATGCCAGCTTGCCTTTACATTCACCTATTGATGGACATCTGGAGTGTTTCCAGTGTGGGGCTATACTGAGCAGCTTTAGCTGCTCCAAATATTATTGACAAGTCTTCTTGTGGACATGTTTTTATTTTGCCTGATAAATACCTAGGAATGGAATTTCTGGGTGATATGCTAAAAGTGTTTGCCTTCATAAAAAACTGCCAAACAACCTTCCAAAGTTGTTTTTATTATACTTCCACTAGCAATATATGAGTTCCAATTTCTCTACATCTTTGCCAGGATGTGGTGTTATCTGTCCTTTAAATTCTAGCAGAAGGTATGGAATGGAATCTGACTGCAGCTTTAGTTTGCATTTCCTTGATGACTAAGGATGCATAGGGTCTGCTCAAGTATTTTGCCCATTTTTTATTGGGTTGTTAGTCTTTTTGTTAACAATCTGTACAAGTTCTTTATGCATTCTGGACACAGTCTGAGCCTTGCTTTTTCATTTTCTTTTTTTTTTTTTTAATTTTTTTTTCAACGTTTATTTATTTTTGGGACAGAGAGAGACAGAGCATGAACGGGGGAGGGGCAGAGAGAGAGAGGAAGACACAGAATCAGAAACAGGCTCCAGGCTCCGAGCCATCAGCCCAGAGCCTGACGCGGGGCTCGAACTCACGGAGCGCGAGATCGTGACCTGGCTGAAGTCGGACGCTTAACCGACTGCGCCACCCAGGCGCCCCGCTTTTTCATTTTCTTAATGGTGCCTTTTGATGAGCAGAACTTGTTGCTTTTGATGAAATACAATTTATCAAATCTTATTTTATGTTTCGTGTTCTTCATGTTTTATCTAAGAAATCTTTGGATAAGGGTGCCTGGGTGGTTCAGTCGGTCAAGCCTCCGACTCTTGGTTTTGGCTCAGGTCATGATCTCACAGTTCGTGAGACTAAGCCCCACACTGGGCTCTATGCTGACAGTGTGGAGCCTGCTTGGGATTTTCTCTCCCTCTCTCTCTGCTCTTCCCCCCACCCCCCACTCTCTCTCAAAGTAAATAAATAAACTTAAAAAAAAAAGAGAAACCTTTGGATAACTTCAGGTCGTAAAGATCTTCTATGTTTTTTTTTTTTTAATTTTTTTTTCAACGTTTATTTATTTTTGGGACAGAGAGAGACAGAGCATGAACGGGGGAGGGGCAGAGAGAGAGGGAGACACAGAATCGGAAACAGGCTCCAGGCTCTGAGCCATCAGCCCAGAGCCCGACGCGGGGCTCGAACTCACGGAGCGCCAGATCGTGACCTGGCTGAAGTCGGACGCTTAACCGACTGCGCCACCCAGGCGCCCGATCTTCTATGTTTTCTTATAGAAGACTAACACTTATTGCTTTTACATTGAGGTTATGATCCATCTCAAATTAATTTTTCTTTAAAAATTTTTTTTAAGTTTATTCATTTTGAGAGAGAGCAGGGGAGGAGCAGAGAGAGAGGGAGAGTGAGAATCTCAAGCAGGCTGTGCACTGCCAGAGTGGCTGGAGCCCGTCATGGGGCTCAAGTCCATGAACTGTGTGAGATCATGGCCTGACCTGAAATCAAGAATCCTACACTCAACTGACTGAGCCATGCAGGTGCCCCTCAAGTTAATTTTTTTTATGGTGTGAGATATGGCTCACTATTTATTTTTTTCATACATTTATTTAGTAGTTCCAGCACCATTTGTTAAAAAGACTTTCCTTTCTACATTGATTTGACAAGGTGGCTTTGTTGAAAATCAGTTGACAATATGTAAGTTTATTTTTGGATTCTCTATCCCTTCGTCTATTCTGGGTTCTTTTTGTTTGTTTGTTTGTTTGTTTGTTTGTTTAGAGAGCACAAGCAGGGGAGGGACAGAGAGAGGGAAAGAATCCCAAGCAGGATCTGTGCTGTCAGTGCAGAGCCCAGTGTGGGGCTCGATCTCATGAACCATGAGATCATGGCCTAAGCTGAGATCAAGAGTCACAGGAGCTTAACTGACTGAGCCACCCAGGTGCCCCTATTTTGTCTATTTTTATGTCAATACCACCCTGCTTGGCTACTATAGGTTTACAGTCAGTTTTGAAATCACATAGTACGAAACATCTAAATTTGTTCTTATTTTTCAAGGTCATTTTGGGCATTATTTAGGTCCTTTACATTTTCATATAGGTTTTAGAATCACCTTCTCCTGTTCACTTCTTATGCTATATCTAGAATAAGTCTGTTCAAATTTTGATTGGGATTGTATTGGATCTACTGGTCAGTCTGATGGATGGAGAATGGATGACTTAGCAATATTGACTAACAACCTGTAAACATGGTTATATCTTTTTATTAATTTAACTTTTTGACATTCTTTCTGCAACATTATGCAGTTTTGAGCGTAGAGGTCATATATGACTTTGTTAAATTTATTCGTAAGTTTTTTATGTTGTTTGATGCTATTGAAATTTGAAATTAAAAATAATTTATTTCCAATTGTTTGCTGATATATATAATGCAATTGATTTTTATAGTATTGATCTTGTGTTCTGTCAACTTGCTAAATTTATCTGTTAGTTCTAGTAGTTGTTTTGCAGATTCTTGGAATTTTCTGTGTAAACAATCATCTT